ATAGGGCTTCACACTTTTTGATCAAATCAGTCATGAAGGCCATGGCTGATTTATACAAATCATCATCCAATGCAACCCTGCTGATCATTGATGCAGAAACAGCTGACAGATTGAAAAGACGAGAACGGTATTTCGATGGACTATCAGTAGACGGAACTTCAAAAGAAAAGTTCCCTCCAGTTTTCGCTGCCCTTGTCCACCGCTTCAAAATCAAACTGCTAGGAATGTGCTGGAACTTCAGATTGCACGTTGTAGACCACAACATATCATATCCCTTAATTTGATGCTTACAGATCATACCACTTGACTCCCACTTACGGCAAGAACACTTGATTTCACCGTTTTCAAAATCAACCTTCAACACCCTACTATCCAACCTTGTAAGGTCATTCTCCAATATGAAGACATCAAACAGTCCTACATGTCCTTCTGGTTCTATCTCCGTATTGGAAAAAATATTATACGCAAGGGATTCCTTGTACTGGTCCAGGAAAAACTTGAATATCTTCGGCGTATACACATTAGCAACTTGCTTCACAATAGGGCTAGTAGAAAACCGAGAATCAGCCAACCTAGATAAAGCATAGTACTCTTCTTGTTCTTCAGCATCCCTCTTATTATCAAGCATCCTCTCAAAGTGCACAAAGAACCTACTAACGCTAAACTCTGACTGCAAGTAATGTCGAATATTACTATTGCAGCACTCACTTAGCTGGGTACTCTTCATTCCCGCACCAAAATGACAATTCACCCAGGCTGAAGACCACTTCGTCCTGACTTTGTAAATGCCCTGTAACCAACTGTGTCCCAAAGGTCCCTTCCCAGGAAAACACTTCTCAATCATCTTCTTCCAATTATACTCAAAATCATCCTCATCATCAGCATTATACATCAAATAACTAAGCTCACGAAGGAAGTCAGAGTCACACAAACTTCCCAGATTAACAACTGCATTCTGAGCAATATGCCATGTACACAACCCATGAAAACAATCTGGGAAAACAGACCTTATACCAGCAGCAATTGCAGCAGCCTGGTCAGTAAACATTGATAACGGTCTCACACCTCCCATGCATTTCAAAAACTGATCGAAAAGCCATTCAAATGTTGCCGTTGTTTCATCATAGAGAAGAGCAGCCGCAAAGACAGTCAGTTGGTGATGATTGTTGAAACCAACAAACAAAGCTACATAAACATAACAAAATGTGAGTAAAAACAATTCTACCAACACATACCATGTGGTAAAAGGTACGAATAACAATAATACCAACCCATACCATATGGTAAAGACTCATACCATGTGGTAAAGACTTCTAAGAACAAAAAAAAACAATCCACACCAGACTACCATATAGTACACACTTCTAACAACGCAAAAAACACCACAAATAACCTTGTTACCAACCCATACCATATGGTAAAAGACTTTTAAGAACAAAAACCACCTCAAATAACCTTGTTACCAACACATACCATATGGTAAAATACTTTTAAGAACAAAAACCACCTCAAATAACCTTGTTACCAACACATACCATATGGTAAAAGACTTTTAAGCACAAAAACCACCTCAAATAACCTTGTTACCAACACATACCATATGGTAAAATACTTTTAAGAACAAAAACCACCTCAAATAACCTTGTTACCAACACATACCATATGGTAAAATACATTTAAGAACAAAAAAAAAACATGATACAGAGTGATAATAATAATACTCATACAAACTAACAAACACAATAATAAACAACAAACTAGAAAACATACCTAGTGGCCGATACTCTTTGTTAGTCCGGTAAGTAGTATCAAAACTAATTGAATCACCAAAATAATGATAATCCATCCTCATCTTCCCATCTGCCCAAAAAATACTAGCAATGTTCTCTTCAACATCAACCTCCACCTCATGAAAGAACCCAGGATCCAGCTGTGCTTGACGTCTAAAGTATTCAAGCAATGCAGTCGCATCACCATACTCCATTGATGACGTCCTAACCGTTCGCAGATGGTTCTTCAAATCATTCTTTGTGAACCCAACAAACTTCCGACCACCACCAGCCCTACTAATTGCATTATACGAAGAAGTCACACCAATACCAGCAGCATCATTCACCTCTGCCAGCATCTTATACACAGGAGTCATTCGTCTGCTGGATCTCACATAGTGACGCAGAGACTCAGGAATCATGTCATGGTTGTGCACATTATACCAACGATAGATCTTGTAGCATTTAAACTCTTTAAACCACCTCAGTCGTATATAAGCACCATTACATCCACCCCTGAGTTCTGGAACATTACGAACACGAACCATCGTATCAACAACACCTGCATTATCAGGGTTATTCTCGCTACCTCTTTTCCAACCTTCCTTATTGCAACAATACTTGATATAATATACAGCTGAAGAACCACCATTGAGCTTCGGACACGCTGATTGGTTATAAATCCTCACACCAAAACCTTCATGATTCCCATAATCAACATAAAAATTATATGCATCATCTGGTGTATTGAACTCTAAGTCCTTCCAAGAATCACGAACAGTAGGATCTATACCATTGAAACCTACAAACATTATGAAACAACATATTAAATGGATTCCACACCACAACAGTATGAAATATCAATGTATACCAATAATTACAGCCATGATACAAGAGTTACCACCATAGTATGGCATGGTAAAATCAAATTACCACACTATATGGCATGGTAAAATCAAACTACAACACTATACCACATGGTATGGCATGGTAAAATCAATTATCACACAGAACCCTCACATTTAACTTCCTAATTACCACATTTTACCACATGGTAATGTACTGTAAAATCAATTACCACATGATAAGGCATGGTAAAATCAAATTACCATCCTATACCATATGGTATGGCATGGTAAAATCAAACTACCACACTATACCACATGGTATGGCATGGTAAAATCAAATTACCACACTATACCATATGGTATGGCATGGTAAAATCAACTATCACACAGAATCCTCAAGTTTAACTTCCTAATTACCACATTTTACCACATGGTAATGTACTGTAAAATCAATTACCACATGATAAGGCATGGTAAAATCAAATTACCACACTATACCATATGGTATGGCATGGTAAAATCAATTATCACACAGAAACATCACATTTAACTTCCTAATTACCACATTTTACCACATGGTAATGTACTATAAAATCAATTACCACATGATAAGGCATAGTAAAATCAAATTACGACGCTATACAAACTTCAATAAACAAACAAATTTGCATATCTTACCTCCTGATTCACCAGAGTTAGCTGAATGATCAAATCCAAGATCAATAGATGAAGAAGCAGTTCCAACAGCACTAGATGAAGAACCAGATCCTACAACGCTGGTTGAAGAACCAGATCTATCAATTGGAACAACATCGCCACAATTTACGTTACTCATCTCACCAGAATACTGCCAAAACACCAAAACACAAAGAACATAACACATGAACAAGCTCGATTAGCTAAACATAAACAAGCTCGACTAGCAGCAATGAAAAACCTCCAACGAAACCAGAGATCAATAGAAAACTCGATTAGCTAAACAGAAAGAATAAAAAAAACTAATATCTAACCTCGTCGTCGATCAATTATGGAGAATCAGAAAAGATTCGCCGTCCCCTGTTTCGCAGCCGCTGCTCGCAATTTCTCTCTACAAAAACCGAATCCAACTCGCGCACACGTCGATCAATTATGGAGAATCAGAAAGCTCGTTTCGAAGCTGCTGCTCGCAGTTTCTATCGCCGTCGATCAACAATGGAGAATCGCCGTCCTTATTTCTCAGTTGCTGCTCCCCCTGCTCGTAGTTTCTCTCTCCAAAATCCGAATCCAACTCACGCACAGAAAGATTTGCAACGGACAAAGAGGGAAAGTCATTTAATTCAAATATAAAATATCGGACAAAAATGCCCCTGACCGTGGACAAAAAACACCGCATCAATCACAGCCACAAGATCCGTCCCGCCAAGATCGACGGTCCCTATGTGGTTACTCACGGGTGAGTAACAAAGGGTTACTCACCCTATCCTAAGCCGAAGAGTTGGGATTCCAACTCTAAAAGAGAGGAAGAAGGAAAGAGACATCGAGAGTGGGAGGCCAGGAGAGAAAATTGTTGGCAATTCTATTCCGTTACCGTTAGCAATTATATTTTGCAGTGAAAGAGTCTGTTCTTAGTAGAATTTAATAAAATAAAATAAAATAAAATAAAATAAAATAAAAAGGCAACCAATTATACATTGCCAGGTGGACATGTTGCAAGACTCCCTTACAACCCGATTTGCACGCAAATATCATCCTGTGCACAATAAGAACAAAAGAGTACACTGAGAATTCCTACTCTCCTTCACACATCACACCCAACCCAAGCGAGGGTCTTGGACACCTATAGTTCATAGGGATCAAAGGACTTAACCTAACTCCGACCCATATGAACTTTAAAATGGTCATCCCTAATAATCCATGTTCCACTCATAATTGCCCTCTCCTAATCAAAACCACTCGTTCTTCGCATATGTGATTAGAATACTCTTGTCTTTGCCAATAGAAAGTTTAGTCGTTGTGTAAAGAACTTAAAAGCGATTGTATGCCCTAGTACCTTCATAACGAGGGCCGATTGCCATTCAAGGGAGCATTTTCATCCCTTGGCTATCGAGTAGTGGATGGCAGAGCACTTAGGATCCTCCTTTCATGGATGCACTCCGTCTCTACCATCCTCCCGCATAGCCGCTGCAATATCTTCTAAATCTTAGTCCGTGACATACTACAAATCGGTCTTCATGTATATGTTTGCTACTATCAAAGCACGACATTAGGGCAGTAACAACATTTTTTTAAAAGTAATATAGGCTTACTTTTTGTGATTAGATACTACTTAAGAAACACAACCTGACATTTAATACTAGTTATATTACTACTTATGTTGTAGAAGTAAAAACTAAATCCAAATGGAGTGAAATATCTCAAGGCTTAATAGCGGCCCGGTATAATTATGTTGATGGTGTTTGCCGGATCAACGCATATGCATGACAAACGACGTTTCCACAGAATAGCAGTAACTTCAATTGCATTGGATTGTGAAAATGGTGGGGTGGCGTAGTTTTACTGACCACAGTATAATTCCACTTCAACAGTGAGTCACACACAACCTTCACTAACAACAAGCCATTCTTCATATATAGCCGCTCAAAATCAATGGCTAGAACGGGTTGCATATATTGATAATCTCCCATCATGTCTAACTTCCACCTAAAGAGTAAAGACTAGTCTGTGTCTGATCACCAAAACTGCCGATTTAAGATTCGTCTATTCGCGGTCACAACTCGTCTTTGCTCCCGGAATCCTCACCCATCAACTCTTCGAGCGAGAACTCGTCTTCTTCGATGATCTCCCCATCTTTACCATCCCATGGCTCGGTCTTCACGATCTCTGGTGTTCCTTCCAGTGGCAGGTTTCCTTTTCCGCCGCGCCCTGCTTCCTTAACGAACTCTCTACGAAAACCAAGAAAGATTTTTGTTGAGATTATCATTGTTGGTCATGCTAAGGGATCTGGGCAATGAAACTTAGAAGTCACCTGATGTATTCCAGCTCGTAGGCACTTTTAAGCGGGGCGTAGACTCCTTTCTTCACGTTCAAGGCAACCAGAGCTGGATACCCATACCCACCTACACCAACGCTGTTCTCAAGATTTGGTTGCTTGCCAGCAGCAGCCCAGACATAGCTGCAGGGATTTATCGACAACAATTAGTACACAGATGGCTGATTAGAAAGATTTGAGCTCCTGCTTGTTTTGGTTAAGTAACTTACAAATAAAGTTTGACCTAAAAGCTCAAACAACCACATCATTCAATCTAACTCTCTTAAACAACTATTCAGCCAAAGTGTTTAAAGCTGGAAGCAAGTACTTCACTAGTAATAGTTCATTTCCTGTGTTGCCTATTTGGTTTAAGAATATTTTCTTTAAGCTATGACCATAATCAAAGCTACTAATTTAATTTCAGGAAAGGATAAATGAAGGTAAGACTGCTTGCCTGTAGGGGCTTCTTCTGAACTTCTCAGCAACTGATAATAATTGGTCGAGATACTTGTTCCTGCCTTCTGCCTTGGAGTCTAAGATATCAGGCAAGAATGACACGAAACAGATGGCAGCTGAACCACACTTCTCCTCCATGACGTCCTGTGCAAGAATTTTGTGGTAAAATACAAGGAGTTAATGGGGGATTAAGGAGTAAAGCCTTTCCAGATAGTCAAAGCGCATACCGGGCCAGTCAACTCAGTTACTTCAGGAGGTGCAACATTTGTTTCCAGCTGCTCCAGCGCGAATGACTCGATAGCTGAGGCTGTTCGAGCACCCTCGTACGGCATTGGGCTGTCTTTGTCGGCACCAAATACCTTGATTGTTGGAAATCCTTGAATATTAAATCTGCTCATGAAAGACTGGAAAAGGACAAAGTACTGTATTAGCATAATCATATATGTGGAACTATGCACTTCAGCAAAGAAAGCACCAGCAAACAGTCACATGTACAAGGAAAAATGAATAACTACAATTCTCTTTTTGATGTGCTTAGCTACATTACTATCCGAACACAATTGGCATAATCATAGATGTGGAATTATATCCTTCCGCTAAGAAAGCACCAGCAAACAATCACATCAATAAGGAAAAATGAATAACTACAATTCTCTATTTTATGTGCTTAGCTACATTACTCTCCAGACACAATAGGTCATATCATGGTCAAGCAATAAGCATGTTCAGGTAGATATTAAACAGATATATGACACCTAGGAGCACATAATACATGTTTTTTTCATTTCTCAAGTTGTGTATATGGAGCAGTTCATCACTCAATACGCAACTGAAAAAGAATGGCGAGTTGTTCAGAAAAATATAGAACATAGGATCAACTTTACCCAGATTCTCTGAGTAAACATAGGATCAACTTTACCTTCTCTGAGTCGCAGTCAACATGACCCAGTTTCACCTTCCCCTTCAAATTACTAGCTGCCTTCTTCCACTCAGGAGCCAATTTTTTACAGTGTCCACACCTTGAACAGGACCAGAAAATGATACTCAAAACCATATCACAAAATGAAGAGCTCAAGAAAGCCACATTGTTTGCATAATGCAGTTAGTTGCCTGGTGCTTACTTATTTGGTGTTAGAATACAAACTAAATAGATAAGTCCGAGGCATGCAATCTCAACAGATTTCACATAGAAGATTAGGCACCATGTTCGTAATAGGAAAACCAAAAACACAACATACATTTCAAGCAGACATGACATAGAATGCAGCAGAATCTCTAAAATACATACCAAGGTGCGAAAAATTCCACAATCCAGAGGTCTTTACTTTTCATCACCAACTCATCAAAGTTGCGAGCGTTCAACTCTACTGAGGCATTTGGTTCAGATTTTTCACTAGAACCACTGGTTGATTTTCCATGCAACCGATCCTTGAGAAGCGCCTTTATCTATACAAGAGTGGATGGTGAGACTAAGAACATTATGTGTGGGTACAAACCTTTGCAGAGAACAACAATGGATCATATCAAACCTGCTGGAGCCCAAACTCCACAATGGGTTTGGCCTCCCTAGCTCCTTGGTAGTTAACAGGTGGCTTGCCAGGAGAAAACACTTTTATTGTTGGAAAACCTTGAATTCCATATTCCTGCAGATGCCAAATTATCACTCATTAACCATCCAACAGAACAACCATATCGGAAAATTTTCTTTTCTGGACCCGCAAGAACTTTCTCGGAAACAGACACAAAATGAGTCCAATATGCATCAATTGGAATAACAATGAACCTGAGCAAGACCCTTGTGTTCGTCAGCATTAACAGCTGCCACGGTGGCCACACCTTTCAAGACTGTGGCAGCTTTCTCCCACGCTGGTGTAAGAGCTTGACAATGGCCACACCAAGGGGCGTAGAACTCAACCAGAACAACTCCATTGGAGTTTAGAACCTGAAGTTCATAGCCTCAGTCAGTTTTAAAGGAAATGAGAGGATCCAACCAGAAAGCCACAACCTTTACACAACATAACTTCAAAAGTTCGCATGAAAATCAGCTTGTAACCTACAAAGCAACCTGTTTTCTGCAAGAGCAGCATAATTTTGCTAGAGATAGAATAACCCATTACTCAACTACACAATGCTCTCAAATCCAGAATCCAGGCACAGCTATATATTCACTCTCGAATTCGAAATCGCCAAAAATTTACGATAATTCTCCTATAGCCATAGCAAAGCTTCAATGAACTCGGGGCAAATAGCCTCAACCACTTCCACACCTCTACAATTGACAATAAAAAAACCTACATATTATTATGAGCATTCAAAATGGAAAGAAAATAAACGCGTCGGCAGAGCTTTACAAGCCCGATCTGGTAAACAAGATCGAAGCCATGGTAATTCAATCCGAAAGTTCGGATTAAGGCGGAAGATCTCACTTCTTTTAACATTTCCACTAACTTCTCTCCTCTACGCATTTCCATTATCCGTAAAACCAAAAAGGGAAGACAGAAAATTATGAGCTACGGCATTGGTTTCAGTTCATCAGGTGTGTTTACCTTGGACTTGAAGTTGGAAGGAGTGAGCTGAACTACTGGAGTCGACGCACTGTAGAGTGCAGAGCAGAGCTTGGATGCGAAGAAAAGCAATGAAACCGCCGCGAGGAGTGGCAGCGACAACGATCGGGACGGGAACATCTTCTTTTCTCGTTACTATCTCGACAATTCACTTCGAATCACAGTGGCAAATCGGAGCAACCTTTGTCCGTTCAGGAAATTGGACTGGACGAGACGACTGAGGAGAAAAGAACTTGGAAAAGGAAAACCCCTCCGCTGCGAGCGTGCAACGTGTGCAAACCAATAACAGGTTGCCACGTCATCATCTCTCGACGCTCAGTCTAAAACATATAATCATGAATAATTCTTGCCGAAATTTTTTATTTATATAATAGTTCCGGACAGGATTATTTAGGGCGTTTCCCTTTCCCAGTGTTTCTCTTGGATATCCTCCGAGACTGGGCCTAACCCGGCCCATATTGGCTTCAGATTGACAACTTCTTGAATCTGGTCTAATCTCTAGTTCATCTCACCTATAGATGATATTTTTAATTTAAAAATTGGAAATTTGCATAATGTAGTTGGTGTTTAAATATTTTATGTACACTAAAATTTTAATTAAAAAGTGATCCATCAATCAAATCTTCGATTATAATAGTAAAATACGGTACGGGAAAGTATTGTATTAAATACGTACATGTATTTTGCTTCGTTTATAAACTAAAGTTAAGTTTAATAGTAAGTTAATAGCCATAAATATATAAAATTAATGATTTTAAAAGTAAATTAATATATAAATAGTAGTATAGTGAACAATTTAATACGGATATATTAAACCTGTTATACAGGTTTTATGCGTGTTTAGTACGGGAGCCATCACATGAACGGACGAAAAAAATGAAACGGCTTGACAATAATACAGATACGGAAGTTTTAAAAGGATAAAATACGTGCTGGTACATATACGTGTATTAAACGGAGTGTTTACTAACTATGTATCAGCCGCTAATAGTAGCACGAAACTCGATCTTGTATTTTTATCAAAATCAGTCACAAAGATAATATAGAATTATCATTCGTATTATGCCTGTTTTGTATATAATAATCAGTCAAAATAAGTTTAAACAACTTGCACGTCAAGTTACCAAGTCAGAGCAGTTGATTTTAAAAGAAAGGGATTGAAAAACTGTAATGGCTAATCAATGTGTGTACCATAATATCATGGTAATTTGAGATCCTCCTCTGCTGTAATTTCTCCTTATCCTCCTTCCAGAAATTCCCTGAATCCAACCTTACACAAATCCTATTCCAAAATGCAATGCGAAGTCATGTTAAAAGAGAGTAAACGCCTTCTAGTATAGGTCATGGTTAAGCACAAATATTGAGGAATTTAATGAAATCTCATGTCTCTGATATGTACAAATCGGCAGCAATTTTCGATGGTGGGGTGATGTTATTAATTCCCTTTCTGCAGATGCATCTAATCCTGTCAAAGTCCCCTGGCAAATACAAAATAAAATGGTTCACTTACTTAACATTAGTTTTCTCAAAGGAGGTACTTGCTTCAATGCAAACAAGCATCGAGAACACAATAGGGTAAATAATATATTTTCTAGTTACAACTCATTCAGCGGGGATAGCTCAGTTGGGAGAGCGTCAGACTGAAGATCTGAAGGTCGCGTGTTCGATCCACGCTCACCGCATTCTTTTTTTGTTTAATGGAGATAGTTTGATGACATAGACAACATGAGCATTCTTTTTTTGTTCAATGGAGATAGTTTGATGACATAGACAACATGAGCATTCTTTTTTTGTTCAATGGAGATAGTTTTCTTTTTTTGTTTAATGGAGATAGTTTGATGACATAGACAACATGAGCATTCTTTTTTTGTTCAATGGAGATAGTTTGATGACATAGACAACATGAGCATTCTTTTTTTGTTCAATGGAGATAGTTTGATGACATAGACAACATGAGCTACCTCCAAAATTCGACTCATGAACTTGCCCTTGTTATCGTCATGACTTTTTAACAAATTCAATAAGATTCTTGTATCGCTTTTATCGTAAAATTCGTAGCTACCTCCAAAATTGAATAAAAGAGGAAATTCTGTAGAGATGTTCTTCAAATACGTGTAATTTAGAGGACTCATGTGGTCATCCTCATTATCGTAATCATACATTTCTAATGTCTCTCGCCTAACCACTTCTGGTCACACTCCTATAACTGTTTATTGTTTGTTTCATATTGTTTGATTATGAAAGTAATCCATTATGGTAAAAGAACAAACCCGTTATCTGTTGGTGTGGATGAATATAGTTTAAGACTGGATATGACAATAGGTTAAATCTCAAACTCCTTTAATTGTTTTTATGAATGGATGCATTCAAACTCATCAAAACAATGAACAATATCTCGAGCTCAGTCTAGTAGGCAAGTAAGTTTCCCTTTTATTATATTTGTGTTACAATTAACGAATACAACATAAGTTTAATGATAACAGAAGACGAATGAAAGCATATAACTAATTGTCTCCTCATTCAATACTGTTTAAGAAAACCGAGCAGAGGGTCATAAACCTTTTCCCTAACATTATCAGCCATGACATAGTCCGCATGAGCATAGTTGTCTATGAACTGAGTCACAAGCTTGTCTCCCATGTGGTCCTTCAAGCTTCCCAGCAAGATCTGCACATCTTTATCTGAGGTAATTCCATCTGTGCCTCCATAAGTGAGGAAGAGAGGCAAGTCCTTCGGAATTCGGGTCATGTCGTACACCGGAGGGCTAGGCTGCCCATAACGCTTCACATTTTGACCCTCGTTATCGTAATCATACATAGCTATTGTCCCTCTTCTCACCACTGGCAAAAGGGGGGAAAATACGTACCAACAAGATCAGTAATCAGTATCAAGAAATCAATAACTATTATCCATGGCATTATGGAATTCGAACTAGGTTAATCAATTTGATTATGGGTTGATCAGGTTGTGAGTCCAACCATGTTAGGCGGATTATGGGTCAAGGCCGGTTATGGGACATCAGTTTTCGGGATTGATGGGTAATGTCAGATTGTTTATTCATAATCTAATCAACTAGAGCCTTACTTTGAGAAAGATGGAGCAAGTTCTTAGTTGATGTTGGTTGAGGCTCATATTTCAGGAACGAATCCATTGCAGAAGGTTTCAGACAGCAGTTCTTCCCTGGTACAAAAATGGCAAGCAGAATTCAGTAACCATCCGATTCATGCATCCCATGAAAACGAAACATGAAGTTTGGACTAATGAACTAACCTGTCAATGCAGTCATCAAGTTGCTGCAGTCCACAAATGGCAGCTTGCACATTTTCTCAAGAAACTTTTGAGCAGGACCCCTAGTGTCATAAGTCATTACCAAGATTCAATCAGGGAAAACAAGTTATAAGATTGAAACAACTAAGAGGGAGAAGAAACATGTCACAGTCTGTTTACCCATTTGGATCAAATTCCTTAATCTTCAGCCAGTAAAATCCCTGTTCCATAGAAGAAAACAAACAAATTGTTAGCGAAACAATCGTTCTTTCAGCTCCGGAAGAGAAGAGAAGAACAAGCAACGACGACAATGACAGGAATTAACCTCGGCGAAGAACAGATTGATGGACCCTCTCATGAGGAGTGATGACATGTGATGCATATAAGCGACAGGACAAAGCAAAGTAGCTGAACTCAACTTGTTGACAAGATGGCCTCTTGAAACAGCTGCTAGAGCTAGCAAATTTCCCTGTGCATACAAAGGACAAGACATGAGAATCTCTTGAAAGTTACCAGAGTCCTTGAAACAGTAACTTGGGGATCTTCGGAATATTCACCTGGGAGTGGCCAACAAAGTGCAGCTTCTGTTTTGTCTGGTCATGGATATAATCAACCGTGGCAGGAAGATCCTGAGCTGCCAATTCGTCCCATGACCAATCCCAATAAGCCTGAGAATATCAGAACAGCAATAGCTATTTTTTTGTCAGCAGCTGGCAGCTGGAAGGAATGATAACAAAGGACAGGATATGATCAGAGAAAGCAAACTAACTCTGTCATCTGGAGCATAAGATACATGGCCTCGGCTGGACGTGGTTCCACGGCCATGGACAATCCAGACATCATAGCCATTATCTGCCAAGAGGAATGCCAGATTTTGTCCTGGAGGTAGTAACAACCAGGTCATTCCATCCTGCCAACACACGCACAGAAAAAAAAGAAGAAAAAAAAACATAGCTTCATATTACATAACATCATACATCAAAAGCACTAAAAGTAACACAAGTAATGGAAACTTTTGCTAACCATGAACAGTCCATGCTGCAGAAGAACAGGCTTTCTGGAACCACCACCAGAATTGCTAGCAATTCTCTGCATGCTGAGGATGTAACCATCTTTTGTAGTCACCTGAAAAAGATACCACCCAAAGAGAGACTCTTGAAGATTCATTCTATTGAACCATTGCATCTCTTTTCTTCTTGTGAAAATATTTTACCTTGTGTTCTGCACAGCTATAGCCTAGTGGCTCAACCACTGATCTGCAGATACCATTACCAGCTGCAGCAGCCGAGAAATTCTGCGATGTTGCATCAACCATAACCATCCCGCAAACAAGAAACCATAAAACCAACTGTAGAATTCTAGCCATCTTAGTTCCTGAACTGTTGTGTGTTTCCAGACTTATCACAATTCTAGTATCTGGGTACACTTTATATACTGTCACTACTTCCAGATAAGAACAAATATGAGAATTTCATTTACAAAACAGCAACAACCCTCAAGTATTCCAAATAACATCTTCTTAGCCATCAATCATCATTAAATACTGATAATTGGGGATTCACAAATTATGCTTTTCAGGTGCGGGGAAAACATGCATACAGCCGAAGCTCTACGGTTCTAAATTGTGTCCCACTTTGTCTCACATCATATGAACAAAACAGACCATGCCTTTCCAAAACCCCAATGAGATACCTTCTCAATTTCACCGATTGCTCTTGTCAAATAGCTCAGGGAGCCATTCAAACCACCATAAGCTGGAGGCCAGAAGGAAGCAGAAATGCTGTCTTTTTACCCCCTTCACATTGCACGTATCAAGCTGTTGTTTTCTATGAGACGAATGCATTAACATTAAGCAATAAACACGTTTAAAACGAACGTGCTTTTAATCATGGTCAAGCCACTCCAATATTGTCTACTAGCTAGGCAACAAAAACAGGTTGAATCATGCATCACTGGCAGATTTCTGAATACGCTTAGCCAACATTTTTTCTTCTTTTCATGAGGGTCCTCAATAACAAATTCAGAAAACGGCAATAGTAAGAGAAAGGTGAAGCAACGGCGAAGTTAATTTGGCAAACTTGGACAGTACAGCAGATGATTTACAAAACTACTGCAATTTTCATTCTGCGAGGAGACAATGGAGCAAAAGAAAAACAGATTAGCTAGCTGCTCCTTACAAACTAGCAACATTGATGGAGTTTACAAGAACCCTGTGACACCGGCGGCAGCGGCACATCCTTCAGGGCCTTGTTGTCATGCAAATTTGGTTGCAGTCTCCAAACACCAATCCTAGGGAGCTCTTGCCTTCCATTCTCGAAGGCTCCTTGGCCTCCATTCTTGATCAGCCGGCGGCGTCGGTGGTGTTCCTCTGCTTCGGGAGCAAATGGAGATTCATGAAGGAGCAGGCGACGGGGATTGCTGCCAGCGGTCACTGGTAGGGATGGCAATGGGGCGGGTTTTGTCAAACCCAAACCCAAATTCATGTGTTTATCCGCAAAAAAAATTCGGGGTAAAATTTGCTGGGTTTGAAAACACAAGTTTCTTTCAAAATAAAAGTTTTAACATAAATTTTCTCATACAAATTATTCATACAAAAAACACCAATCTAGAGCATACAAACAAACCGCAAATGATCGATACAAATTGTTCAATAAAGATAAACATCTATAAACAATAAGATTAATTGAAAACTTCTTCATTGTCAACTAAATTTCTTCTCTCCACTTCATAATATCAACTTCATTCTAAACGAACAAATTATACATGTCTCCACAAACATAAAGAATATTTGTTGTTTAAGGAAGATATATTATTTAGAATATTAAATATATCGGAAAGTAATTATATGTGTGTGGGTGGGTACCTATGGGGTGAGTTTACCTAAACTCAAACCAAACCCGACCCGATGAATAGTGTAGCGGATTTAAACCCGAACCCGGTCCAAAACCCATCAATACGGGTTTTACCCACATTGACCGGGTTGGAACGAGTGGGTACCCGTAGGTTCAGATTTTGTTGTCATTCCTAGTCACAGTTTGTTTGGGGATGGACGAAAACGGCAGTCGTATTTGCTCCTTATGAGTTACGAACAAACTTTCAGGCTATATGTCCGAGGGTGGGAGCATAGTGGGCCTTGTACCCAACAATTAGGGCCGAAGAAAGAGCGGGCAGTCCAGGCATATTCGAGCCCATAATCTTGAGATCTTTCATCTTTCTAAAGCCGACCACGGTGGCAGCCTGGCAGATTCCCGAAAAGAATAGAAAATGAAGCGGCGGAGGAAGGGGAGAAAGAGAACGCGTTCTTCTCTCTTCCTCCAAGTTTGGACACATCAGAAGACGTCGATGTATTAAAAGCTACCGCGGAGGGGAAGATAAGGTAGCTAGCTGGAGCCTGTGTATACAATTTTCAGACCTATTATATTGTGTAATGTGTACCACTAACAAAACTAGCATTTTTGGTCCAAAAAGAGAGACATCAAACACAACTGTGTATGTGTGTTGTTTTGCAGAGCAAAGGGAAGAGGAAGACACACACAAGACTGAGACTTCCAAGAAGACCCAACCCCATTTTTCAAAAAAAAAAAAAAAATTTGCTTTTTTTTTTTTTTTGCTTTCTCACACACCAAAATATTCCAAGTCCAATGATGAATGGGTTCCTGTGATGTGAACGAAGGCGGACGGAGAGTTGTCTTTGTAGTTGTGTTGTAAAGGTAGGAAGACTACAATGTAAAATTGTTGATTGTCTCCTTGTTTTATGTTAGAAACAAAGGTTATAGACAATTTAAATACGGTTGGTTTTTTTAAATAGAGATAGACAGTTATATTCTTGAGAATTTTTTATGAAATTTTGAAAGTTCGATGCGGATGCCTCTTTTCGAGAATTTTCATGCAATAGCCAGTTTAATCTAATGAAGTTGTTCAACTGCCGAATACGATTCAAACGCTTTAATTCCAAAGTAAAAAAGTTGAGAACATATAAATTCATGGTGCCTAAGAACAAGGTCAATCGGGTAGCTGATGGATGATATGACGTCACATTCCTGCTAAGAGCTATATGATGAAAATGGAATGAAAGACCACAATGCTCATTGTGGATGACGAGGAAAATGAGCAGATCGCCTACTGTGCAACGAGGAAAATAACACTCGACATCAAAGCAAGCATCCAAGGTTACCGAGGAATAACTCAAGGCGATAAAAATGACGAGAGGATAAAATGATTTGCAGGGTTAGGACAAAGAGGGTAGCCTACACAAACAAAATATCCAAACATTTTGAAATCACTAGTCCTAACATACATGTTCTTTCGTTCATCGAAGTATAATGATCTCATTTCTACGACGCTCCACTTACACAAGATGACAAGAGTACAAGATTCACACATCGGAGCCACCCTTAAACATCATATGATTCATACATCATAGTTGTACCTCACTCAAACAAAAATCGGTTAAATCAATAAGTACATATTTACATAACCAACAAAATAAAGATTTTCCCTCGCGACAATCATCTTAGAAGAAATTCGTTCCCTTTTCTCTTCTTTTGTGTAAGTATCGTGTCTTTGCTTCTCAAAGGTTCAACCGAATTGTCCATGTAGTAGTAAAATTCATGTCTTTACACTTGCACACTACATATTTTCTTAAATTTCATATAATCCCTAATACATAGGGGTGATAAACGTTTAGTCGGTTATCGATTTTACCCAATAACCGAATCGATAAAACCGGTTAGTGGTTAACCGATAATCGCTAATTTCTTATTGGTTTCGGTTTTGGTTAGTAGTATTTTGCTTAATGGTTAACCGCTAACCGACTAATCGATTAGTTGTTAACTGTTAAGAAAACCGATAACTGCCTACTAGTGTGACTAAATGGTTTTGGACTTTGGCTAAGGGAAAAAGTTCTAAGATTCATAACCAATCAAAGTTGCAATTCCAAACATTCCAATTCTCGCCTATTGCAAACAACCCTCCATCAAGAATCTCAAATATTTTTAAGAGTTAGAACCCGAAAGTCACACCTCTCTAACTCCCCTTTGCACTCGAGAGAGGGAACCTTAGGTTGATGACTATGGGCTAGATTAAGATCTTGGAGTAAATGATGACTATGGGCGAGATGAGTAGGAGCGAGATCCTCGGATCATTTAGGTTGATGATTTGGAGATGATGAACTTGTTATTTATGTCTAGTTGTAATTGTGACTTGTGGTTGAATTGTGGGCATGTAGACTTTATGTTGTGGAGTTGTGGTTGAATTGTGTGGTTGCTTTAGACTTAATGTTCAATTGATTTAGATGACTTTATGGTGTGTGATTTTAGAGGCTGAAACAAAAGCAGATCATTCAAAATTGGAGTTGAATCATTCAAAAAGGTGGCTGAAATTCGATTTCGGGGGTCGATTTCTGATCGAAAATTGAGAAAGCGAACCAGAACCTGCAGTTTCGATTCACCGCAAGGGAAAACCGAAACCGATGTTTGCGATTTTCAGCTAACCAAAGTCTCTGTCGGTTCGATTTTGTTTAGCGGTCTTGGAAAAATTTCAGTTGCGGTTAACCGATATTTCGGTGCGGTTTAATCGCACCGACTAACACCCCTACAAATACGCATCCGCAAAGCAACCCTTAAAATGAATACCCCTGTGATGGTGTTGGAGTTGGAATGAGAAAATTGATATCAATTAAATAATTGAGGATAAATTTCAAGCTCACACATTCTTTACTAAGAGAGCCATCGATCAACAATCTAAACCTTGATATCTCACGTAGAAGCAATAACATTCCATCTTTAATGCAGTTCATCCATTCTTAAATTTACACAATTGACTTCATTTTAAATCAATCCATCATGACCAATACCCATGGTGAAAATCCATCATCCAAACAACTAGTCCATAGTAATACGAAAACATTTCTAAACTATGGTTTAGATCTATTCTAGTAGTCACCAATTCATTGGCATGTGAATTTGCCGACTCCACCAATCATCACATTCAACTCACTCTATTGCCCTAACCCTAAAACGATGATAACCACACCCCTCCAAAACCACCACCAAAAAATCTCAGAAAGCAGACTAAAACCAGAGGTAGAGAGTATCCTCAAAACAATGAAGCAAAAGTACTGCAAAACACCATACTTTGTGGAGCCAATGCAAAGGAAAGAAGCCATGGAGAAAAACTTCCAAGATGTGTTAACAGTACAGAGAATTCTATTGTTGTCTTTTTATTTTGTACACAGAGAAACCAGAAAGCGTGGATTTTGATTTCTGCTTCAATGGGTAACATAGAGAGAGTGAGAGGAATCACAAGACAGAAGACAAAGAGATCTCGGACGGCCATGATCCTCTTCCCAAACCCTCCATGTTCCCATTCTAAGAAAGATCTAACCAAATTACACAACAAATGAAAAGCATCGAGATGAAGAAGCTAATACATAAGGCTTCATCATCAAACTTGGAAGCAAATCGATTCGTGCTATAATCAAGCTTAGAAACTTGTTCAACTCATCTAATCATACATCTAAATTGAAAGCAACCCACCATCAAATTCATCTTTCTCCAGCTTGCTGATGATGCTGCTGTGGCTGCAATTCCTTTTTTGGTAACTTTTTTTTTATATTTTCTTCCTCCATTTCTCATTTTCCCGAGAAAATAAAACCATAGGGAAAGAAAAAGGCAGAAATACAAAGGGGGTTTACAGTAAAAATCGTTACAGACACAAGGCCAAGGTTGGGAGTTGGCCGTCTATGGGGATACAAGCTCCAAATCCGGGAGCAGAGCCGTCGTCGTCGTTGTTATTGTCAATCGGAGCCGGGAAATTCAGATCAAAAGGCAGGAGCTTACCGGTAGAAGATTGAGATAGAGACACCGTGCAATCCCTGTCGTTGCTGCCAACGACGTCCACGTCGTCGGCATCGTCCACAACCGTCGACGACGAGTCGCAGTCGCTCCGACAATCACCCGGCGTGACCACCACGACGGGTCGTCGCCTCCGGGCCCTCGCCGGGTCCGGGATCTGAGCCGGGTTGTTCGACCCGGGCCGATGACCGCTGCACGACTCCACCGTGCTGCTCATGCTGCTGCTCGTCCACCGATTCACCTGAACCGCCGCCGCACCTCCTTCCTCCTCCTCCGCCTCCCCGGCCGTCCAAGCTTGACGCTTGACCATCAAATCCTCTCCCCCGCCGCCACCAACAAAGACCCCAGAATCCACCAGCGGGAAATTGGTCCTGGCCTTGACGCCGCGATAAGATCTAGCGGCGGCGTCGTAGGCCCTGGCGGCGTCCTCAGCAGAATCGAAGGTACCTAACCATACCCGCGTCTTCTTCCAAGGATCTCTAATCTCGGCGGCGAATCGGCCCCATGGCCGCTTCCGGACGCCTCTGTACTTGATCTCTTCACCCTGTGGGGCGCCGATCTGCTCGGCGGCGGGCTGGTTTCTGGGTCGCCGCATCGAGCGGGGTGATACGGGTGGATTTGGATAAGGGGGCGGGTGGGGGAATTAAAAGCTGCGAATCGGAGAGAGAGAAGAGAAGAACGGAGAGATCTGCGATTGGGGATCTGGGTTTGGTGGGTTTAAGCAGCAATCTCCTCCGCCGGCGGCTCTCTTCTCTTCTTCGTCTTCACCACCATGGGGAAAGGAATGGAATGGATGAATTGAGGGGATTGGGAAATTTTGGGGATTGGGGATTGTGGTGGGTAATGGGAGATTGGTGATTGAATTTTCTGGGTTGGGGGAGAGAAAAAGATCGATACTTTTGTTTCAGGATTCGGGTTTTCGGGTCTTTTCCATGGTATTCTGTAGAGGAGTTGTTGGGCTAATGGGCTGGGCCAGGCCAAGATGCTTTGGTAGCTACGCCCTCGGAATGGCCCGGTTTCCTCCCTCATCTTTTTGTTTTTTTTTTTTCAATAATTTAGAAAACCGTCATGACCGTGAATACCAGGTCCATAAGACCAAAACTAGTTGGTTTTAGTGTTACGAAATTGTTGAAACAAGATAGGCTAACGGTAAAGTTGTCGCGACAGTGAAGGGTTGGGAGTTGCAGATTTCAGGTTCGAATTCAAGCGAGGCTCGTTGGTGTTCCCGGACGTATAAAGTCGTTGGCGTCGAATTTGATTGCAGGTGGCCCCCAGGTTTAGTAGGACCCGCTGTCACAAAGTGGCACGTGGTGCTGAGGTTCCTGGGTAATAAAAAAAATTGTTGAAACAAGATATCAATATAAAACACTTAATTATTGACTTTTCCGGTATAGCCTATTGGACAATATCACAAATCATGGTTTTTTCATAGTGTTATAGCCGTATACTTTTTTTTTTTCATCAAACATACTACTATACTTCATAAATGTTATCAAACATTTCTTCTGTTCAAATTTTCATCCAAAACCGTCAATCATGGTTGAACTATGATTCGGACAAACCTAACCTCAATAAAATGCGAGAGAAAATGTTAGTTTTCCCCCAATTATTTTTATAAGCCACATTAAAGTAAAATTATTAGGGTATTGGGATATACAAAGAGAAATGAAATTTGTTAAAGTGGAATTATTAAAGGTATTTTAGACATTTGTGTTGCAATCCAAGGTTCGACAATGGTTACCAGTTTTTGGGCGAAAACTTTAAGAGATGGGCATGTAATATAATGTTCTAAAATATAAGGGTATTTGTATGTAGACAGTATTAGGTGAAATGTGTTGATAAAAATACATAGTAGATGTGCATATAATACCAATAACACTTTTATATGGTTATATACGAGCCATGAGAAACAATTCAATCTTAATTAGCAAGATACCTTTATGGAATGAAATAGAGGAGTTTTGATGAGAATTAAAGTTAAGTGTGTTTAGTATAAAACAATGAAGAGATGAATAACCTCATAAAAGGCCATCATAATGCACCAAAAAATAAAATCAGGCTAAACTACATTCAAAATGGACAATATCTTCTAAACCAGAAAAGTGATTGATATGGTATAACCTCACCACCTCCCTTCTTTAGAGACATTTCCCAAAATGCCTTGGTTCTTAAAAAAATTCACTCAATGTAACACTTACGTACGAAATATTCTCGGTACAAGTTTAGCCCGAATCACTGCTGCAGTCTTCAACGATTTGAGAAGTAGATCTTAGACAAAATTACACATACTAAATATAATTAAAGGTACAAGTGCTTTACTGTTGCACGAGAATTCCCCTAACCTGCATTACTGTCATCTAACTTTGCTCACCTGCAAATATTTTGTCAACACATGACTATTGTAATGATCAGTAGAGGATGGAGTATTATTTGTTCTTTTTGGTTTTGGCTAATTCATATGAGAGTTGGCTATATTTTAGAGTTTTATTAAATTAACCTAAGTTCAAAAATTACATTAGAGTATTTTGTACTAAAATCATAGTTTAATTGTGGTTAAAATCAGGGTTGACACATTATTTCAACACGAGCCTCGATTTATGTTTAGAAAAAAACAAAAATTGTAAAACCATAATGAAGGTCGTACCGGTAAAGTTAATATTAAAGTATTTTGTGCGAAAATCGTGACTCAATCAGGCTTGAAACGTTGCTCCAACCCGAGCCTCGAAGCATGTTAATAAAAATAAAAAATTGTAAAATCATACCGAAGGTCGTACCAGAAAAATTAGCATTAGGTTATTTTGTGCTGAAATTGTACTTAAGTCATGGTCAAATCATTTCATAAAGCTAAAATCACCTATCGATTTAGATTCCGTTAGAAGTTTTTCTATTGGACCGCCATTACGGTACAATCGTAGTTCAACCGTGGTTAAATCAGGCTAGACACATTGATCCAACCCGAGTCTCGATTTATGCTCAGAAAATACCTAAAATGGTATAACCATACCAAATGTCATACCCAAAAAGTTTGCATTAGGGTATTTTGTGCTAAAATCATAATTTCTACCGTGGTTTAATCAACCTTGACACGTTGCTCCAACCCGAGCATCAATTTATGTTCAGAAAAACCAAAAATTGTAAAACCATTCCTAAGGTCATACTGAAAAAGTTAGCATTAGATTACTTTGTGCTAAAATCGTAGCTAAACCGTGGTTAAAATTAGGCTTGACAGTTGCTCCAACCCAAGCCTCGATGTACATGGAAAATTCAAAAATTGTAAAACCACACCGAAGGTCGTACCCGTAAAGTTAGCAATATGATATTTTGTGCTAAAATCATAGTTCAGTCGTAGTTAAACCAGGTTTGAGATGTTGCTCCAACCTGAGCCTTAATGTATATTCAGAAAATACCAAAATTTGTAAAACCATATCGAAGATCGTACAAAAAATGTTAGAATGAGGACATTTAATGCTAAAATCGTAGTTCTATAGTGGTTAAATCATTATATACAACTAAAATCACCTATCACGTTAAATTATGTTAGGAGTTTTTATTATACCGTTGCTAAACACGATCATAAATCAAATAGGAGTTAACAAACAATTTTTCTAATCCTATCAAACCCGCAGCGAAGTGCGGCAATAAATCTACCTAGTTATAGATAACTACCCCACCTCCCATTTTGCACTCACTTCTCCCTTTCTCACTTATCAGCTAAAACCAGAAGCAACACTCCCCTCTGCCTCTCTATTCTCATTTCTCCCAAACAGAAAACAGCCACTCAATTACCATAATTCATTCCTAAAAACTCAAATTATTATGTGATCAATAGATTGGGTTAAGATTACTTCATAAATCACTCAAAATTAGCGAACTACATGTATTTTGATCACGACTATTAGGATACGTAGCATCAATTAGTTCGAGTCCGATTAATAAAAAATCACATTTTCTCCTCTTAGAAAACACATGCTTAAAATAATAAGCAAATTAAAACCATATTAATCAAATCTCGTGGCCATGGTGGACCCCTTCGTCATGTGGATTTGCTACTTTATTTCTGGGACAGAGGTCGAGATGTGTTTGTCGATTTGACTGGGTCTTCACATTGACTCAGACTAGAATGACTGCTTTTGTGTCGGGTTGAGTTGTTGCTGATGCTGCTCAGCAAAAGTGTGCCAAGTATTGGACTTGTGCATGGCGGTTGGTTACGATATTTTTTCCTTTTCTTTTTCTTCGCTTGGAGAGTTGGATACGGAAGTTGTGGCTTGGCTCAAGCGAATCCATAAATTCTCCGTGTCTTAGGATGCGGTTGCTCGGACGGCCAAGTACTTTTTTACTAGACATAGATTTGTTGTAGCTAAAGGAGTGGGGGCCTAGATTGTATCTCGGCTGCCCACCAATTTTTTGTAGACCTTTGTTTGATCTTCATACAATAATTAATATTAGTTATTATACTTAAAAATAATAATACACCCAACCTTTAAAAACTAATCAGTTTAAGTTGTATCGATTTTTGTCTTTAGTAGGGGTGTGAATAACTTCCTAACAAATAATCGTACTGTTGAACCTGAAACTCTAATAATTTGCAGACCAAGTTGCGATTTTAACCTTAAAATTATAACCGCTAAATATGTTCGATCCACTACAACTAAGATCAATGACGACTCGGAGTGATACGCGAGCGAGTGCCAATTCCGAGGGACGATTGCGAAGGAACAACTACCATGCATGATAAAAATCCCTAAAGAATTTGTCTAATAAGTGAAATTTGGAAACATTAAAAACAACCTCCATAACAAAATCTGTTCATAAAATATGTGTGGTGTTTGTGATGCTCCAACTTCAAGTCTCACTCACTCTTGCACTTGCGAATCTGAAGTCCGGCAAGGGTCAACTACTGAATTGAGTGAGTGGTCTTGGTTTTTATAAAATAATCTTATAAACTAAGACTCATTCTTGAATTCATGGTACAAAATGATTTTCAAGCTATTGGTTTTTTTAGGAACCTTACTTGGAATGATCTAAAACATATCCAAAACAAGGTTTAACATCAATGGGTATTTGCAGCCAAGTTTTGATTGCATTAATTTGTTTCACGATTTGTTAGTGAAATTTTTTAATTAGATTAATGATCACCTTAGTTAATCCGACAATCCAATTTTTGATATCTGACCGTTAACTTTTGTCAGTCTCTATTAATGTTGTCAGTATTGTGATGATGTTACTAACATAAATTTTGAGTCTCCCAAATTTAACCTGAAATGTTTAGAACTCGGCCCGCTAGATTGTAAAACCCGTTAATTTGTCTTCTCCTGGAAAATCAACTAGTAGACACGCCAGACATGGGAGCCACAATAGGCCGCAATATAACGAGGAAAAGCGAGTAGATATGGACTTCTTTTATTTGTTTTGCTTAATAAGTTCGTCAAAAATAGAGCAGATCACAAGATCTTGTGAAAGCTAAACGAGTTCGTTGTCCGAGCCCTGAGGTACAAGAAGGGGTTGGAAAAGAAAAGGGGTTGAGTCAGTAACAATTTTTTATTTTAATTGTTTTACTAGGTCAATCTAATAAATCTAATTGGGGTAGTAAGTTGTTTATATAGTTAGCAAGCTAACTAGATAGATTTTTATTTTTTACTATACAGGTCGAGTTTATTTTGGTTTAGTCTCAATTAGAGTGATTCAATTATTTACAAGTCAATTCAATAATTATATTTGACATGTTATAAAAAAACTAACGATAAGGTTCAATTAGAGTGATTTGGTTATTTACCGGTCAGCTCAATATCTGTATTTGACATGTCTTAAGAAAAACTAATTCACAAATGTTTGCTACCAATAACCAAAATTGGAATGATGATATAATTATAAATGATCAGCCATGAAATTAAAAAAAATTAAGTGACACGAAACAAATTAGTATACTTTGAAATCATAAAAGTAAACAGAAGCAAATAATGAACCAAATGGTAATATGATATATTCTTGGGTTACGTCCTTGATTGAAAACAATAATAAAAACTGAACCTATCTTAAAATTGGCAGCACGCAAGCTACTGCTGGATTGGATTAATCGAACTTAGCTATCACTTCACTGGCATTGGTTATTTGTACCTGGAAAGGATGCATCTGTATATAGATTAGAATCACATCAAACATTTCTCAATGAGTTCACTTTGCTTGCAACACACGCATCCACTTCCCTTGTTCGTGAAGTAAACAAAAAAGAATGAGAGTAGCAGCTGCCACTAGAGTAGCCAATTGAGCAAAGGCAAAAGAGACTTTCACCTGCAAGTTTTATTCACAACCCAAAAAGAAAAGAGAAGACAAATTAAATACTTTGCCTTCCATGTACATACACCCCCCCTAAAATGTTTTTTCTTGCCTCATCATCATCCAACTTTTCGGGCATTACCGAAATCAACCTATATCTCTGGGATTCAACAGAAAAAAGTGGGGGTGTCTTACATGTGACCAAAAAATTTCTCTTTGTTCTTAGATATACCGAAGAGTTGTTCTGTTCAATAGACGGAAGGAATAGCCAAGGGAAAAGGGAACCAAAAAAGAAGGGAAGCACACAGGTAGGGCTTCCATTGTAGGCCAAAAATCGATCAATCATGTGAAACCTCGGAAGAAGCCTTCGACGAGGAGTGTGGTGGTGGTGAAGGATCTCCAGCCGTGTCAGTAGTATCATCAGATGGAGGAGTAGTCGTCGTCGTAGTAGTAGTTGTAGTCACCATTGTCTTCTTATTCATACCTGCACTCATCTGATACTGTTGCTTGTTGTTTCTAGCAGCACCATTGCTATTGGGGACCTTATTCGGCGATGGTGACAGAGAAGGTGGTTCAGCAGGTGACATTCTTGGATAAGTAACCATGGAAGAATCAAGGACAGGTAACGGAGGAACGGTCAAGCTGTAGCTGTAAGGGTATCCAGTGGTGAACGGGTGATCGAATCTGCAGTTTGAACCGAACTTGCAGAAGCCATAGGAAATGTAGTTGGAACATAGAGCTTGCCCCTGCAAAAATCCAGGACTGGAGTTAACAAAAAAAAAAAAAAACCATTGACAGACCAAAATCTTTGTAGTTAATAGAGCAAAAAGGGATGCTTACGGGTCGAGAGGGAAGGCCAAGTGGGCCAGGATTGGTTGCTAGCTGAGCAGTTCTGTCCTTTGGATGATGGTATTTGCAGTCGGACCCATATTTGCAGGTGCCGGTGTTCATGAAGTGTCGGCATTCTGGTTGATCAGGTCTTGAAGGAAGATTAGAACTAGGTGGTGCGTTGTATATCAAATGCGTTTGTTGCCCACTGGAACCCCCCGAGTCACCTTGATGATTCCTGGAGGTGTTGAATACAAGGTTTGAACCCAGGATGCTTGGAGAAGAAGACATTGGGCTCAAGTTTCCCTGACGAACAAATGAGAGCATCAGATTCAGGGGAGATAAAGAAAAGAGAAAATAGTATCGTGACCATAAAGACCTGAGACTACCAACTAAAGGCACTTCAAGCATGTGAGACTGTTGGAAGGAAGGTTTCTTGTATAGTCAAGATTGAAACTTTCTTCAGAAATAGCTTGTTAAAGGTGAAGTTTTAAGGCATAATAAAAAAAAAGTTTAATCAAGGGATCCCTACTATATCCCAACCAAATTCTGGCCAAATTCATACCGTATTCCTACTAGATCCCTACTAAATGCTACTGAATCCCTAATTAAACCGCGACATTCTGGCGGCAGAAGTGAGAAGACAGGAAGGAGGATGGAGAGTGTGGAAGTGGAAGAATGATACTATGGTGTATGATTCTAGTCCAAAATACCTGCATATAATCTGGTCCATAGGCATAGTCACCTGATAGTAATCCCTGTTCACGCTACTCTGATGAATAGTAGACAACTACAAACTTATCACACCAACCTAGAGAGTGCAACCAGAATGCCATAGAACTTACCAGGTTCTAACATAGTCAATGTACCAAAAGTTGAGAAGGGATTAAACTGAATAACTATCTCTATGTCTACTCACCACATAAGTGTTCCAGCCTTGTGCAGGAGAGATTCCTTGGGAAGGAGATATATAAAGAGGAGCAAAAGCCTGTGGAGTTTCCAAACGTGGGCCTGACATGTATGGAACTCTGGGAAAGGACCATGTTGGAAGCGCGCCAATGTAAGGCAAACCAGCAGTCGGGATCATGGATGAACTGGTCGTCGATCCATAGGTAGAGAGCCCACCAGGAAGAGGCACCCCAGGTTCAAGCGCTGCTGCAGGTTGGGGATGGTTGAACTTGCATGCACCTCCGAATTTGCATGAACCAGTACGCAGATAGTAAGGGCATGACTTTTCATCCTGCACAAAACAGTCAATTTGTGAGCTTTCAAGTTTTCAAGAATGAAAATTAAATAAAGTAAGTACCTGTCTCATGGGAAGACCGAGAAGGTTATACGAAACTGGTCCTGCACCATTCCTGTCCTTTGGGTGATGGTATTTACATGTTGACCCATACTTGCAAGTGCCTGTTTTCAGATAATACTGCAATCCAAATTTGCCAATAAGCCCCATGTAACTTTCACTATGAGTAGATCAACGGAATAAAAATCCAGACTATCTCAATCACAATGCAATACCACTACGATGTGATGAATCCATAAATCAAATTTCTCTCTGTTTTGGGGCTTGAATTGCATTTAAGATGGCCTTAGATGAATGAGTGATGCAATTATAAATGCAATCATTTTTTACCATATACGAACAGTTGAAATCAAGTATCCATTGCAAACCTGGACCAATTAAAGGAAGACTAACAGCAATTTTCAATCTATTTACTCATTCAGTCATGCTGAAAAAATCACATTGCCAACCGAAAATAGAATGCAAGGTCGCAATAGGTAAAAGCTTCAATCTTTGAACTTTCTAAGCATATGATCAACATAGATGTTTCCTTGTCATAACCTTAGCAGCTACTATAATCACATCATTACATCGCTTTCTGTCAGCCTCACAGCCAAGACTTCAATTGGTTTAGTTGATTCCCAATTTTGAAGGATGCACAATTTTAAGAAATAGCCTTCAAATCAAGGAGTTTCAACATGCGAAAATGATGTAACATAATCAAATCATTCTCCAGCAGACATCCAATCCACTAATCATGGATCACAAAATATCAGAACAAAGCTATCTCACAAAAGAGAGAACTCACCCCACAGTCAGGCTCTCCAGCTCTCTCAGGAAGTTCATCTCTGAACTGCGAAGCCTAGAAGAAGAAAAACCATCATCGGAACATGATACTGAGGATCTCAAAATCATGAATTACGAAAAGAACACCACAGAGTGATCAAAAGTACGAACCTTTGTGACCTGAGCAGCATACTGGGGGTGGTTATAGCGACAATTACTGCCATAGCCACAAACCCCAGTCCTCAAGTAATACACACAGTCAGGCTCACCGGGTCGATCTGGGTATGACCCGGTCTCGGTCACCCCGACTTGCTCCTGATTATTATCATGAATCTTCAACCTTCTAATCGCTTCTGAAATCCAGACACACACACACACCAGAAGATTTCAGTTACCAGATCATCCCCAGAACAAAAACGATTCTTCGGACATATAGAATACAAACAAACAGATCAATCCCAATCGGCATTGCATTACTAAACAAACAACTACAGCACCAAACAAACAAACAGCAAACGATCAAAACAAATGAAACCCCTCCTCTGACCACAGTAAAAACAGGCGATCGCCAATTTCAGTGCACGATCACAAACATTACACGCGAAATTGAGAACCCAGAAGGAGAAATTTGAGGGAAAAGGGGGAAATGAGAAGAGATCCCCCTCCACATGAACAGTACCTTCAATGTTCTTATCAGGGGATTGATTAGACCCAACATTGCTTTTCACCGGCTTGTGATTGCTGCCACTGTTGTTAGTATTAGTATCTGGCATGAGTAAGTAACAACCGAGAACGACCCTTCACCCACACTACCCACAAAAGCGAGAGGAAAAAGCGCGCTTCCCCTTTTTTCTTCTTCTTCTTCTCCTGATCAAAACCCAGATAAGAAAAACTGAATTTTGTGATTCCTCGACCCACAACCCAGAAAGAAAGAAAGCGATCCAAGGATGCGATCAGGAAGAATTTCTTGGAAAAATGGTGATGGGAAAGGAAAGAAGAAACGGAAGCCTTGTGAAAGCAAATGTGAAACCAGGAAAGGGGGGGAAGGGAAGGAAGGAAGAGTGTGATGGTGCAAAATGGAAGAAGAATGGAAAAGGGGGAAGAGAGAAGGAAAAAAGATTTGTTGTTATTTATACAAAAACAAAAAATTATTCTCAGTTTCCGAATTTTAGATTCTCTCTTTTTGCTGGGACAGATTTTCTGGGTTTCCCTTTTCCTTCTTCTCCTTCTTAGTCTTTCTTTTTTATTTATTTTCTCTCTCCCTTTGTAAATTCCTTTCTATCTCTCTCTCGCGTCAGAGTGGAAGAAGAAGCAAGCAGGCAAGCAAAGCAAGGGCGAAGGAAGATGACGAAGAAGAAGAGTGGGGACTTATATGAGAATTTTCGGATCTCTCTTCTCTTCTTTCTTCCGTGGCAAATTAAAACAGACCCAAACAAATATGCATTATTATTATGGTTTTATTTTTTACATATAAAAAGGTGTAAATTGTAAAATGACGAATTGAAATTCCTTTTTATTTTATGCTTTTGATAAATCTTTTTTTCCCCTCTACGTCGTCGAGTTGTACAAAATTTAATTAATGGGCTGCAAAATTTTAGTTGGTAGTGGTGGTGGAGTGGAATCCCCGTTTTACCCTCCTTTGGTTAATAACTGTTTTCGTTGGGGAGGTTAAAATAAATAATTTGCGGCTTCAAAAGTGGCGGGGACAGACAGACATGAAATGTGGGTCCCAAGGCGATGGCGGAGGGCCGACCAAACCAGCCATGCTAAGTGCATTCAAGGATTGGGTTTAAATGGTCATTACGGTTCTGTTTACTCATAGGCCGGGTAGAGAGTTGAGAGTTCAAGAGTTCGGTCACAAGATACATGTAAGTTTAGTTAAAAAATAGGATTTATAGGATTTTGTAATTTTTTACAATTTACTATTATAAATTAACAAACGTGTCTTTTTACTTTTTTTTTACAAAAAAATGTTATCACGTGTCTTTGTAATATTATAACGTAACAGATATACTATTTTGTCTAATTTTCCTGTTAATGGTCGTTTAATGGGCTGGAAAATGAACCAATTACCCCTCACTTATTCTAAACACTTCTAATTTTGATTTTATTTATTTCATATTAGTTATCACTAAAGCCCAATTAATTAAAAATTAAACAATCGTCTCCTACTCTAGCTGCGACTGGGGAATACACTCCGCCAACACACTCGCCCGCCGCCACTACCGCATCCCCGTCGTCCCCTTCTTCGACGTAGTCTCCTCCGGCGTCCCTTCCGCCGTCGTCTAGTCTTCCTCCGCCGATGTCACAACACCACCGGTCCTGCGCACTCAACTTCCTCGATGACCGCTACTTCGCCACCGACGACGCGGACGATGACGTCAGCAGGGAGGAGGCGGAGGTTGCTTCCGGGCTCCTCCCCAACCCACCAGGGGGGTAATTCACCCGTACCCGGAGGAGGCGAATCTTGCGCCGGGAGAAGAGGATTATCACTGTCTTAATTCCGGGAACGACTTGATTTGGTTGGGAACGATCATGGAGACGATTGATTTCTAAGAAAATCTGGCTGAGGTTAGAGTAGGGGGAGAGACGGAGGCGGCAGGGGAATTGGGGGAGAGAAGAAGTCGGAAGGTTTCGGTAAGGTTTGGACTAGAGATGACAATCAAACCCATGACCGCGGGTATCCGTCCTCCTCCGACCTAGTCAACGTGGGGAATCCCCGCATTGACCGGGTATGTGGTGGCCGGTGGGTATGAGTAAAACCCGCAAAGAACTTGATGGGTATGTGGCGGGTATGGTTTTAGATCCCCGCTCCATACCTATACCCAAACCCGCCCCATCAAGGTATTTTGCTATACGTAAAAGCTATAAATATATTTTTGTAAATTATTATTAGCATGAAGGTAATTAAATAAGATAATATGATTAAAATATAATTATATTTATCAAAACCCTTGAAATTTTCAACCCTTTGAGCCGGCTACAGTTTACTTTCTCAATTCTTCAATGTCGCCGCCTTTCCTCTCCTGGCTCCTGAATCATCTTGGAGATGTTCACCTTACCAAAATTGTTGACGAGATAGTAATAGGTCATTACATATAATTTTTTACATTTGAATTATTTTGATGCATATTGGTGTAACTAAGTGTGCTTAAATAATTGGTAGTCTAGTAGACTTTAATCTTTTGGAAGCAAAAGAGGTTTTTGTCTAGTTGACAACTTTATGTTAGCTATTTACTATGTAGATGTGTTAGATTCAAAAAAGAATGATTTGATATAGTATTATGTTTTTATTTTATTTTATTGATTAATTAATATTTTACGATTGAATGCTTTTTCCTATTAAGAAATACTGTAACTGTGTTGATTTCCGCTATTTATTATGTATGTTTTGTGTTATTATTGAGGACATACATGTTGAACTTTAGATATAATAATATTGTTTATACGAGGTGGGTATTAGGGATGGCAATATTACCCATACCCATGGGTATTTTACTATCCAACCCAATTGGGTTGGGTATGGAATCCAAATAGATGTTAGATGGGTAGAGTTTGATGGGTTTGTACCCATACCCATTTACTTGGGTTGGGTTTTTAACATATGGATTTGGGTTTGTACCCATACCCAAATGCAAATTACAGTTTGGTACCTAAACTTAATAGTTATGCATATTTAGTACCTAAATTAATTTTTTTGCATATAAGTCCTCAAAATATCGATGAAAAATTATATTTTAGTACCTAAATTTTTTTGGTCTAACATTTTGGTGCCAAAACTTTTCAAGTTTTACAACTAGGTCCAATTTTTGTATGTGTAGTTAAAACACCCTCAAGTAAATGGATATCCATATCCAACCCATACCCATTTAGATAATATCCATATCTAACCCAAACCCATATACAAACCCCAAACCCATACACACATTACCCAAAATAAATGGGTCTACTTGGGTTTGGGAAAAATTACCCATGGGTGGGTAAATTGCCATCCCTAGCGGGTATTACCCGTGGGTATCCGAAACCCATGGGTATGAGGATGGGTTTGCAAAACCTCCCTCCGCATGGTTATTTGATAATGGGGATGAGGATGGTTTAGGAAAACCCGCCCCATTACATCACTAGTTGCGACTCCTTAGTTTTAATTTTTAATTAATTGGTTTTTAGGGACTAAAACAATTAAAATCAAAATTAGGAGTAGATAGGGGCAATTGAGTAATTTCTCAGCTCATAAAATAGCCAATCAAAATAAAATTAGACGGAATTGTACATTTGTTATGTTTTAATATTAGAATGGTATGTTTGTGCAAAGATTTAGTAGAAGGGTACGTTTGTTCATTTGTAAAAGTAGAAGGGTACAAAATGCTATTAACCCTAAAAAATGATAAGTTTGACTAAAAGATAATAATAAATTACTATATGTGTTTATCGAAGGGATCAAACTCTCTCTATTTTCTCTAATCTCCCATTTTGTCGCACATTTTTCCGATGGCGGCTGTCAGCAATGGTGATGTCTCCGTCGGTGACGGTCGGTCTTGGACGTCGTTGTTTGTAATAGATTCGGATAGTCGCCTTGAGTACCATGAACCAGAGTTTGTGAACGGTTCACTTCGTATTCCACGAACGATAATTGATGAAAGCTTACGAAGATGGGCAAACGGCCTCGTCAGCCAATGATACGACCTTAAACTCAAGGTCTTGATGATTAGAGTCACACAAACAAGATCAATTCAAAGGGTTTGATTGATCAAAGCAATTCGAACCAAACAACCGAGTTTTAGCTCTTGAAACTCGATGTGATTGACGTGCAATTTTACACCTGAGGAAAGACTCGCCACAATCGAGGGTGATCACTCGATTGATAAGAGACAACAATCTCTTGTCCACCAAAGATCAACACAAAAATTTCAAGCTTGAATCTTGAAGAATCCTAGATTTAACTCTTATAATCATAATTCGAGTTTTACAAGTTACAATTAGGCCTTTTATAGGCAAAAGAAACATCACTCTTATGCTTACTAAACAATGAAAACTATTATAATTCGAAAAAGACAAACACGAAATAGCTAGATAATCCTCCTCAAACTCGACTTCCAACTTGATTGCTTGCTACCTAAGTAGCTATCTTCCTGCACAAGTAAGAAAACAACCCTCCATAGCAACTTCATTCTCTTCGTTTGAAAGCCTCCAAGTTTAGTAGAGCCCAACGAGTTCTAGTACATTCTTCAGCAAGACATGGACTTTCATTTCCAACCCGCAACTGCCCTCGAATGTCCCTCAAACGGCTCGAATAAGCTCCCAAAATTGTTACTTCCACACTGCTTTCAGCCTTAGCCATTTCCAGTAACTCTTCCTTCCACGATTTGCCTTTTTTTCTAAGTTTGACTTGGAATGGCTTTAGGGCTTAGGCCACTTCCTAGGGTTGCATCATCCAGTTCCTTAATAGCCATGCATCGTTTTCTTCGATTCGATCCTGGCCGAATTGGCTATGGGGAAAGGATGGAGAAGTTCATGTGTCTTGGTTGGGTGATCGATTGGTACTCTTTCAATTTCCAAATGCTCTAATTTGCAAATGGGTTTTTGAGGGAGGGCTTTGGCATCATAGAGAAAACCAAGTTTTCCTTTAACGCAAAAACCGGGAATCAGGCATATGGATATCGATAATACGGTAATTTTGGTATGGGTAAAGTTGACCAATCTTCTTGTGGAGCTGACTTCAAAAGAGGGGCTAGGGTGTATGGCTAATTCCTTTGGACGCCCTTTATGTATGGATCTTCTGGCAAAGAGGGGGACGAAGCTTAGCTATGCAATGATTTGTGTTGAAATTACTGCAACATCAAAGTTGATCACCAAGCTGAGTGTCACACCTGATGGATTGTCGGAGTTGTGGATTGATATTGAGTATTATCAGTTGCCCAAGGTTTGTTCAAAATGTAAGCTCTTTGAGCATGATTGCTCTATCCCATAATGAGTAGCTACCAAGAAGGTTTGGGTTTCGAAGAAGAATGTCATAGGTACAAATACAGGGGGATGAGGCAAGCTCAATATCAAATATGGAGTCAGGGCATATGGAAGGTGTTAGGGTTATCTCGGAAGAGTGTTTTGAGAAAGGTAAAGAAGTAGTTGAAGATCCATAGTTGGAGGCAGTGGTAGGGGTTCTGTTTAGAGCTGAGGCAGCTCCAAAAACTCAAGAGACACCCCCAACAAAGGTACAAGATGGTAGTGATGGATTCACTGTGGTGGTTAGTAGAAAGCAGAAGTCTAAGGATGCCGGGAGCTCTACTATGCAGAAAGAGAATATGCAAGTTTGGTTTAATTACACAAACTTCCCTAGATTGTCAGCTTCTAAGTTTGTGTTAAGGATTTTGGTTCCTCCTCCCTCTCCTCCTAGAGGTAGAGGCCAGGGAAAGTGCCAAGGCGTCCGACAAGGCATTAAAGCCCCAGTCGCTCCCTTTGTGTGGTATAATATGTGTTAACTCGTTATGAATAAGACATTCACTATTCATGCAAGAGTCTCTCTCTAACTTTCTCCCTCTAAAGCTTCTATCATCTTCTTTCTAGTTTCTTGGTTCCGCTTCAGGAATTACTCCAAACCACGTCAAAGTGGGTGACTGACTCGCTCCTACCGTCACTCTAGAAAATGGCCAAGTGTAACCACCTCCTAGAGCGTAGTATAGCGGGTTTGGATTTTAATGTCAACCCGGGTCCTAAGTGTGATGACTACTCCGTGAGTTCTTATTATTTAGCAGTGAAAGTGTAGTGAAGGTCCAAACAAGCAAACAAGCAAAGCAGTTAAAAGGTTGCTTTCAAGTTGAGAGAGGTCACCCGGATATGGTTCTCCCTAGACTGTAGTTAAGCCGGATTGTAATTTACCAAGTTCAAGTTCAATGATAGTTATACTGCGGGAGGTTCTTAAACAGTCTGCAGTCTCGACTAAAGGTCTCCAGACCCTCTCAATCTGAGTCCCCAACGGGGGACTAACCTCCACCGGAGTAAACAGATTGAGGCCCTAACAAACCAAACCTCCACTACCGAAGTAAATTCGGTACAGAATAGTGAATTGACTCCTCGACTAAAGTCGCCAATTCACTACCTTCAATCAAGGGTGCTCTATCAACCTAGGTAGATATTCTCTTTCTAGGTTAAAGCAGAAATAACAGGAATTTGATCAGGATTCATGCCATTCAACAAATCAAACCTCAATTGAACATAATCATACCACTGAATCTGTACTTGGGTTCATACAATCAGACCTAACATACAAATCTAGGGTTCTTCATACCAGGTGAATAAGAAAGTTACTCCATAGAGAGAGATGGAAAATCTAGCTCAGATGCAGAAACCATACTGTGAAGGATGAGAATCTGCTTCTGGCACTCAATCAGCTCTTCTCCAAGCTCAAGCCGGGCTCCAATGGTGATGGAGATCGATCAAGGACACTTGCAGAATTAGGTTCGTCACTTTCTCTCTCTAGGTATCGCTTTTTCTCTCTAAAACTCGGAACCCTTCACTTTTGCCCTTCTTTTCCCTTAAAAGTTGTTTGCCGCGATCCCCGGTCTGAATACCCGGTCGGGTATTTTGGGTGTAGACCGGGTATCTTCAAAACGCACCGTCGGAGAACAGGGGTTAATCCCCGGCTGGGTCAAGAATACCTGACCGGGGATTTCTGATTACTGCCCGAGCCCCCTTCTGATTCTCAAACGCCCAAAACCTATTTTCCCCGGTCTGCTCCAAATAATACCCGGCCGGGTATTTCTGCTCATTGCCGGGTATTTTGCTCCTCCAGCACACTTCAACCCAAACGTGCTCCTTTCGGCCTGAAATTCGTTCCTTCGCCTCAATGCCAACGCTAAGCCTTGAAATACGACATAAACGCACAACCTAGCTTAAAATCGGCTTAAAACACGAGAATCAACATCTCAAACGGCTCAAGAATAGGGGTAAAAACATGTGCAATCAATGGTCTATCAGTGACTCGTGTGGCACCACAACTCTTAAGATTCAAGGCGACCCCAATTTTCATCGGCTCGAACAAAATCAAAACAACAATTTGTATCATAAAAATATGTTGATAAGTTTATAAGGAGTTCTGGTGTAACCCATTTGTCAAGTTGTATTATGGGTTCTCAATGAGTTTTGAAAATACATGAATGGCCATTGGCGAAGATATATGCAAGAATTATTTCACCTAAAGTTATAAGGCAGAATGTACCTATAAAGTAAGATCACATAATAATAATGCTCCAAAAGGTAAGCTTTTCTCAAGGAAATGCTCCCCATCTTCGATGTGCCCGCTCTGCACCGTACACACTGAAACCATCAATCACTGCCTCTTCCAATGCCAACATGCACAACAATCGTGGATGGCAATGCTCCCTTCTTTGCCTGCTCCCCCGGAGAGTGTCTCGGTTTTGGAGTGGCTGTCCAGACTTCTTCCAAGTATTCCTGTCCATTCCATCCAGATGATCATCTTCCTTACGTGGCATATTTGGAAGGCAAGAAATGAGAATATTTTCATAGGGACCACTCTTTGGCCACAACCACCTGTGATAAGGCGTCCAAAGATGCAGTCTCTTGGACGACGACGACATGTCCTCGACGTCCCATGATCCGGAATTCATCACACCACTAGCCTAGGACATCCCTGATCCAATCATCTTCACCGTCGAGTTCTCATCCCTTTGAGATACACTGTGATGGGTCCTTTATTTGTGACCCACATAAGGCGGCTTATGGTGTAATTGTTCTTGACGACCATGGAGAAATTTGTGATGGGAGGGTTGGACCTGTCTTGTGTTCATCCCCCATTGAACCAGAAGCCAGAGCTCTCTTGAAAGCTGTCCGTCTGGCCGAGTCTCTCCAGGGCCCTTGCGTGATCAAAATTCAAAACAGATTGTTTGGCCCTTGTGTTGGCACTGTCCTCGAACCCTCCTATTTGGCCATGGCGAGTCTCGACTTGGGTTGGGATCATCTCTAGTCTCACTCATCAACCAGCCGCATTAGGATTTCCTTTTTCCGATGTAAGCTCAACTTGAAAGCTGACTGGGTGACTCGAGCTTTTGTTAGAGATGAAGTCGCATTAGGATTTCCTTTTTCCGACATAAGCTCAACTCGAAAGCTGACTGGGTGGCTCGAGCTTTTGTTAGAGATGAACTCCCTACTGATTGGATTAATGTACTTAATCTCATCTCCCACCTGCTGTAATCCTCTCTGTACTGCTTTTTGGCTGGGGAAGAATATATTGAAAGGATCTTCATTGTCAAAAAAAAAAAATGTTAATATACCGGTCGATAAGGGGACCAGATCAGGTCAGTAACTGATGGGTCAGTAACCCATCAGTAACCTCTTCTCTTGTCGCCACGTGTCAGTCCCTTTTTTATTTAAATTAAATGCGAAAGGACAATAAGGTAAAATTGCTCCTACCTCTATTTATTGCTAACGCTGACTTTTGACCGGATCACATCAACGCCTTCTCTCTCCTCGAAAAACCTTTAATTTTCCTTCTCTTAATCTTTAACGGACGATTTCTCGCTCGGTTTAAGTCGGAATTTAAATTTTTTTTTGCACAGTTAGATTAGATTAATTGTGCTCTTCAAAATGATATCCACTTTGATATTTTTTGGACATAAAAAAATTTGTCAGTATTACCAGTCTATACCATATGGTATTGACTGGTATTGACCATACCATATGGTATGAAAAAATTTGCCACATCAATATATATTACGTTACCACCCAATACCATATGGTATAGTGTGGTAATATCAATATATATTTCGTTACCACCCAATACCATATGGTATAGTGTGGTAATATCAATATATATTTCGTAACCACATAATATCATATGGTATAGTGTGGTAATATCACACAATACCATACAATACCATATGATATAATGTGGTAATATCAATATATAATTCGTTACCACACAACACTATACATTACCATATGGTATAGTGTGGTAATATCAATATATATTTCGTTACCACCGAATACCATATGGTATAGAGTTATAATATCAATATATATTATCTAAAAGAAAAAAAAACAGAAGGAGGTAGAGAAAAAAATTCGTCTTGTGTCGCCTCTCATTTCCTCTTCCGCAATCAAGAACACCAAAATGCCGAAAAAATGAGAAAGATCGAAATTGAGGCCAACGAGATGATGAAGAGAAGAAATACAATGAGAAAGAGTGGCTCCAATTTTTATTCGTCATGGAAAAAAAATAAAGAAGAAGAGAAGGGAGCAGATTTAGATCTAGAAATGAGATTGAGAGAGAAAAAGGAAGAGAGAAAGAGAGAGGATCTGGAAGAGAGATTGAGAGAGAAAAAGGAAGAGAGAAGGAAGTTAGAAAGTTGCAGAGAAGTGATTTCTCTTTCCTTCTTTGAAAATGCAGTCATTAAAAACGAAATAAAATAAAATAAATAATTTAATGTATAAACGGACAAAAATACCCTTCCCCACTCAGCGTCCAGCCCAACCACACGATTGCCTGCCTCTTAGATCTATGATCCCTATTCATTACTAACATGTCAGTAACCACTTGGTTACTGACCCTATCTGCTGCCGTCGATAAGAAGCGGACGAACAATCTTAAATCGACACGTTTCATCACAGTTTCCCATTCCGGCTCCACGGAGTCCATTTGCCAAACGGCTCCTTCAATCTTTATTTTGGGTCAAAGTGTCCAAACCCGGTCTTCTCAAGCAATGCGACCTGAAAAGGCCACCGTTCTAGAAGTTGGCATTTTCTTCTTCCTCAGCTATCTGATCGGTCTCCGTTGCAGACCACAATAAATTCAGAAACAGGCAGGCGGCAGGGCCGTGGGTCCATCAGTCAGCGGACGTTAAACCTACGCCAACAATTCCCAGTTTCCCACCATCGACCATCCCCAGAATCCATCGCAAAATATAATAAAACCAGCCCATAATATTAATCCGCCCCATCATAATAAACCATTCATTACAAAACTTCTCACCGCGCTTCATGAAAGCGGTGACTGAGAAATATGTTTCCGTCAAAATATAGAACCGCCAGAGGTTTTCAGTAGTAGTAGTAGCAGCAAATAGCAATCGAGCTGTGCACTAGCTAAAAGAGTCGCCTATAGGTCAAATAAGCTTGGCATTCTGTACTCCGCCAAGAATCTCTACAGAAGAGGAGCCGATATGTACGGGAAGATGTTGGTTGGTGGGCGGGAGAGAGCATCTTCAGCAGAAGAACATCGAAGCCTCGACGTTTTTGTGCAACCTAGGGAGCTCCGGAACTGCAGCAACTCCTGCAGATGTCATGACTTCAGAAGAATTCTCCGACATGTCGTCGAACTTCATGAACTGTCCCATCTGTGCGGCTGCCAGATGGGCATAGCAAACGGGAGCCACTGTCGGATGGAATGTGCAAGCAAAGAGATGTGAGGTTTGGGACGAAAGATACGCGACTTGACAAGGTTTGGTTGAGAACTAAAAAACACGATGTGGTTTCGAGTGTGAACTTACCGATCGAGATTGCTGTTGTACTCCTCTGGTAGCTGTACAGCAAAACGAAAAAAGATTCAGATGACCGAATTTACGATAAAGTGAAGCAGATACGATTTTTCCCCAAGTATGAATGAAGGGCGTACACATAGGAGAGAGAGTGGATGAGGTTCTGTAGAACATCAGGAGAGAATCCTATCTCATCAACCAAGACGTGATAGTGTGCTGGCCTTGAGGTACCCTGGAACACACGCATGTACAGGTTCTTTAAAACCTCTCGAGGAATGAACAGGCAAAAGGCTTCACGAGCAAATTAGGGGGGCTTACGATGGCGCCATTGTGAGCACACATGTAGAAGTCATAGTTTCTGGGATGTACAACGGTTGTGTCCACAACCGTCCCTGTACAAAACAGAAATGCATTTCCAGTGAACAACTGAAGAGATAGTGATCACAGAATGGGGACCCGGAAATCAGAAGTATAGGAGCTAACCAGGAGGAACATTGTCAGTGCCTTCAGCCTTGAATAACTTAGTGTGATGATTCTTCTGTGCAATAATCACTGTGAACTTTGGCACATCAGTCTCGCCCAGATGTTGGTAGGCCTGTCAAGGGGTAGTAGACAGTTTTTGGAATGAATACAAGGAAACAGAAGAAATTATGCTTATGGTAATTTGGGACAGACAGTGAGGTAGAAACGCAGCAGCAAATGGATGAGTTAACAGTGATTAGCTTTTATTGAATTGGGTTAGAAACCTTGATAATCTGGGGCAGCTCAATATTTAACACCTGATTAAATTGTGACTCGCTCACCCCATCTCTGAAATAAATAGGAGAAGTCGATAGTACAATTTATAAGCATTAGAAAGCCAAAAAATATCACGAATAATGCAAATACAGCAGAAAACACCTTCTACACACACAAGAGGGAAGTAATAGAAGAGCATGAACCCCAAAAAATTTAACCATTGTGCAACTCATAGCAGTAGCACCGACTCAATGAAAAGATGTACACTACTTGGGACTTAGAGATCAACCATAATGCAGCAAGAACCATACATCGAACAGTCTGTAGTCATGAAATGGAACTGCCATACAACAAAATAAGTTACCAAAGTTCACTGTCAACCAGTCCCTCAAATTTTTATTAGGAATTCCTTATGGAAACATGGTCCACGACGAGGCCACTGACAAGGATTGTACTACACAGAGTAAAAATACAATGAAAAGAATGTAGCAAGCCATTCATAATATGAATGTTGGAACTAAATTTGGCAAGACAAAGTTTTAGACAATCTGCAGTATCTAGGATTAGGAATAAAAAAAGTTTAATGAGAAGTGTCGACAATGCAGGAGTACCTGAAAATAACAATTTGTTTAGGTTTGGCACCACTTGTCTTATAGAATTCAATGAACAATTCCCTGCAATCAAGAACAATCACAAGCCCTTAGCAAACAAATCATGCAGCCTCGTATTCTAGAACTGTTTTTTAGACTGGGATCATAGTTTAAGAAACTATTCTGCACGGGACCTCCACTGGGGACAATATACAGAGTGCCAAGAATAAATAAGATGGAGGACCAAATAGATAAACCAAATACTAAGCTGACGAAGAAGGTTCAAGCCACGGCTCTCTGGGAGTTGGTGAAAATCAGCAAAGGGCTAGAACAAGTATGACAGTGAAGCTAAAAGACATCCAACCATCACTTTATCGTCAGGCTATCCTTGGATTGATCCAAACCAAAATAAGAAACCAAGCAAACAATAAAAGATGACTTCATAAAGAACAAACAAGTCAACAAATCTGAGCATCAAGATGAAGTCCGAGAACAAAATTGATATTTTAATTAAATACCTCATGATGCCATCATCTGTGTTATTGGCTGTAGGCTTGTAGAGAGCATCTATCATCTCCAACTTAGGAGACTGAGTTCTCACGGATGCTCTATACTTCGTGATATAAGGCCATTCGAGGGATCCAACAACCTAAAGCCAGAGTAAAAGAAGTGGCAAAAGGCTTAGCTTTTGTGAACTTGTCATTATCCAGTTCAGAATGAAGATAATGCCTAAAAATATATATCCAGAAAGAAGAAAATACCGCAGCAACAGATGGAACATCCGACCGACCAGGAGAACCATGGGATACATCCATCCCCAAAATCATTGTTGGTGTTTGAGTTATAAAGGGAATGGATCGAGTAAGTTCAACTTCCAGCATAGAATTTATCCCTCCAAGCTACAATGAAGTAAAGGTCATAGATAACTGAGAAGTACGACAAAAGAATCAACTAAACAGTAGAAGGGATGATACTTCCAAATGACATACCTTTGAATTGATCTTCAGAAGTACATTGGTAAGATATTGATCCTTAATAACACGTGGTGGAGAAATGCACTGTGTAACAATTCCAAAATCACTTAGACATTTCTTCTTCCACGGCCCTGGTAAACAAAGGGAAGCAACTCGAAACTATTAAGATGGAGGAATCGACTTTGAGACATGGAAGAGTAAAATGAAATATGGAGAAATAGAAAAATAAAGAACCAAGTACCATAAATATCAGAATTTTTTCTTTGTGGCAAGAGACACAGGATGAATTCAGGCGGACCAGGCAGCTTGTCTCTAACTTGCTCAAACATACTTTCCACTCTAGCAAGAGGACTGCTTCTTCTTAGCTGAGGATATTCGTCGATTAAACTCTTGGGACCCTCAATATCCTTCACAAATGCATAAAAGGGTTTATAGAAATTATTAACCAGATGTAAAAACAACCAACAGAAAAACTGCAGTAACATACAATGCCCTTTTTCCTTCCACAGTTGATCAGGTCACGGGACAGGCGGCTAGTATCACATTGAGCACTAAAGTTGACAACAGCCCACCGCTTAATGCTCGTTGCTTTCAGAAGCAACTACACAAGAGAAAAGACAAGATCAGACCAAGAAACTTCAAAATTGTTAACAACAGAGAAGAAAGAAGAATATAAACAAGAGATGAGAGGAGAATATTGGCATGCAAAGATACCTTATTGTTGAAGTTCCAACGACCATTATTTGGGAAGCAGTTCTCACTATTACCAACCTTCAACTGATAGTCACAAACAGAAGAGAAATAACAAAGAAGGGTTTAACCAAGACAGGATGGATGGGGAAATCCTCATTAAAGACCGAAAACGTAAAACGAAACGAAAGGAAGATTCAACAAAATAAGAATCACCTTGGGGGTATCAAGGATACGGCCATTGACAGATGTCAATTTCTTTTCTATCGAGATGCCACATTCAGAGAGCAGTGGATCCTCATCATAGCGATATGTTCTCATAGCCTGCATAAGTTCTAGCAATGTATTATTTACGATAAAGAATTGAGAAATCATACAGGTTATGAGAATAACCTACATCAGTAACAGTTCTTATTCTCTCCTGAGGTTTCTGTCTTGATTTTTCAACCAAAGATGCTCTCTGCATTGATGATAAGGATTTTGTGTATCGCTGGAGTGAAATCAATGAACAGAGCTGGAAAAAACAAACGCCACATAAGAGAAGGATTCACTATACAATCAGTTAATGAACCGAGTTACATGGGGAAAACATTGACCTCCAATGGCAGAAAATTTGGCCTTTTTGGCTTGCCAACGTCTAGGCAAGGCAAGAATCCTGAATAGGTTAATGGTATAGAACGATGTTTGGTAAAATACTCATAAACTGTCATCTCAACATTCTCTGCATCCCCATTTGTGCCATCACCGTTCCTCACTTTCATTGAAAAACTGGAAAGAGATGAGAAAGAGGTCTTACACAACTGAACCCACATAGTAGAGCAGGAATTGAGTCAAAGTAGAGATTCATTAGATAGTTGAACATACAGTTGCTGATTGCACCGCATCTCGCTTAAACCTATGATCTTAAATTCCCTATTGTTGTGTGTTGCTTTAATCCTCAAATTCTTCAACATCCTCCTAGCCTGTATGTTAGAAGAAGGTTAGCATCTACACACACAAGAACAAGTTCACTGGATCCCGTTCAGCAATTTCTTACCTTGTCCCAGTCAATCTCTCGAAGTTCTCTCACATTCTGATTCACTAACAGGAAATCTTTCACTGGCCCGGGAGTTAGGACCATTGTTGTGGAAACATCTGCACATTGACAACGATACAGAAGGCTGAGGCAGCAAATCTGACAACTGATCATCAAAAGGCATCAGCAGTTAATCTCAGGGGATTATTAAGGAACCTAGAGTTGTACCCATATTGAGTGAAAAACCACCCTGAGTGGTACGGAAGCTAGAGTGGAAACCTCTAAGGCCACTTACGCCCTGCCCAACATCAGTGTAGTTTCTTGCATCGTCATGAAAGAACGACTGCCTTACCAAAAGGCAGCCCCTGTAAAATAATTAATTTGTTCAGTAAACTATATATGTTACAACTTGAGTGGAATCATTTGTCTGTATTAAAACACAATCCTGCAACAGAAAAAATTTCACGGAGATACAATGCTTCATTTTAAAGAACTGAATAGGGAGATATAGCTACCTGTTGGCTGCTTGCTGCCTCAATATGATATCCAGTACTCTCACAGCATCTTGAATGCCACCAATATCTGCCTCATTACCCTTGAGGGCAAGAGCAATGGGCTTTAATGGGATTTTCGCAGCATAACTGATTTCTATGTTAAAGCTTTTTGAGCCAATAGAACACTTTGTCCTCTTGTTTTTTGAGGATGGGCTTCCATGCTCGCTGCAGTATAAAGATAACATCTCATAAGTGGAAAGCAAAGAGATGCAACAAAAAGTCATAAACTGCTTTGAACCATACCCCTTAGCAATAGAATCCTCAAGAACCACAGTGAACTCTTGCTTCTTGAACAGTAGAGGTCCAACAGTATATAGAGTCTTGTCACCGTCATAGGCAAACTTTTTACCAGTAAATTCAGAAGAATATGTTTGGTAAAGCTTGTCAATCAACTTTCTACCAATTCCCTTTCCTTCAACAGGTCTCTTATCTTCATAACTAATTGAAACCTGCCATTCACATGACCATTTCAGCTTTTGCAACATGTAAATGCATAAGACGTAGAAATAAGTGAATCTGCAGATTATAAGAATAGGTAAACACACAGTGTACTGGTAGAAGACTGCATCTGGAACACCAACAGAAACTCTGAAGTGATTTGTCATCAAAGGTATCTGACGCCCAAGCTTTCCAACTCCCTTCCTACTCACAATAGAGTATTTTGGAATGTCAGCTTGATCTACATGCTGGATTGCCAGCTCAGGGTTAGCACTTGATGCTAATGGAGGGGGTGGGGGCAAATGAGGTGATCCAGTTGATTCCTTCGCCATGTTTACCTGAAACGACCATTTATGATATCATTAGCAAGAATAACATCTACAATGATAATAAAACTCCAGTAAACTCCTGTAACCTGAACAAATTCTCTGAAAGATAAATTAATTTCCTACATGCAAAACACGAAACCACCACTTTGATTACTATAAAAAATAGTCATCTGTTAAGATTCTTAAAAGAAGAACGCGAGGAATAGACCAGTAAGAGAAGCTACTGGTAGAAACTGAACTGCAATTCTATCACAAACATCAAGAGCAGAATACAATGCAGCTGAAGAAATTGGTATAAGGTGAGAGCAGCAAAATGACTGGTAAAATAGAACAGGCTCTATATACATATCAGAATTCAGAATCTAGAATAGCTAAGCATGATGATAAGAAGGAATACATAGATCCGTAAGAACTATTACAAAACAAAGAGAAGCACATGCATCCATGCTAGCGTTCATCCCTCCATGCATCTTTCTCTAACAAAGCTTAAAGAGCAGTGAAATTGCCACATTCAGGAAGAAATCCAAACAGAAGCAAGCACAGAACAACGGAATCTCCCATATCAGTATACACGAGGAGACTCAAAAATTTCATCGTCTACTAGCAACGGAAAACACTCGTCGGAAGCTGAGCTACGCATCACGCAGCGGGAAATAGACAGATGCCTAGATCCAAACAACACTAAGAGGCGTGCACAGTCAAAACCCACAAAAAACGGAGCAAACGGACGCAGTGCAAAAAATCGATTGCTGAAACAGCCGTTAAAACGCTCGCCGACGCGAAAGGAAAGCGTTCAATAAACGAAGCGAGAAGCACATATTCGAAGCTGGAACTGAAAAGAAACTTCAAAACAAACAGGTACACCCATACAGGTGAAGCAGAGTCGACTATACACTCGGAGACACGAGAGCCGGAAGAAGCACAATGCAGCCGAACAGAAATCAAGCTCCAGAAAATCTCGGTTCAATAACAGCAGAAACGAGAGAATTTAAGCACATAGAGTGCTGAAAGCCTTTTAACCGATTTCAAACAAACGGTATATTCAAAAGACCCAGCTAAAATGACAGAGAACAATGCAGGCAAACAGAAATCGAAATGGAGAAATTCTCCGCTCGCTAAGCGCTCTTCCATGGCCAAACACAGCTGGACCGGGGAATTGAAGCACAAGAGTGCTCGATTTCAAGCAAACAGTATTTGCGACGAGCCAGCTGAAATAAGTAAGAAGGAGCAGAAGAGAAGAAGATGGTCGTAGGCATACCAAATAGAGAAGTTGGATTTCTAGGGTTTCCTTTCGGTTTTTAGACGGAGAAACTTGAAGACTGACGTAGTTTTCTCCTCTGGCTCCTCCGTTGCTCTGACGAGCTCAGAGAAAAAAAGGGGGAAGGAGAAGGAGGGAAAGAGTACGGGCGCAATGTGCAGATTTTCAGGGGGGGAATTGTCCCGCTATTTATACTTAGCATCCCCGTTGAAACACGAGGAGACTCGTGACTTCTGCCGTTCTGCGAGAGGGTGTGAGGGATTTGACAATACATGCGGGTCCATGGACTAGAAGCGTGGTCTCCATTCATCCCGTCCGTTCAGGTAGATCAAACGAATAGGATTGGCAACGGATCGGGTCTATAGTAGATAGTTGATATTCGATCCCCGCTCATTTAATTTTCGGATAGGTATCGGGCGGGTACCATATAATGGAATGTATATCATATCTTTTACTATAACCATACCCGCGGATATCGGGCGAGTATCCATGTACCCATAGATATGTTATATAATATACCTAATGGTGAAGAATAAATAAAGGGTTAATTATATGGTTGGTCACTGAGATTACAAAATACGTTCAAGTTTGATCGCTCGAAATGTTTAAATCCATTGGTGGTACTTCAGTTTACCGAAACCGTTTACGTTTGGTCACTCTTCGTCCAACTCTGTTAATTTTGGCTGATGTGGCAGTCAACTCTCAAAGTTGACAGTTAACTTAGTGACGTGGCAACTAAAAAATTATTAAAAATAAAAAAATAAACTTTTATATTTTCCACCTCATTATTACATTCAATAAAATAAATAAATAAATAAAATCTAATTTCTTTTATACAAACCTCATACCCTACCCGACCCAACCTCCACCGCCGCCGCGGAATCTGACCACCGTAGCAACACTCCCCACCACCCGACTCCGACTCCTGCCCCATCCCCATGCCCGGCGCAGACTTCAATCCCTCCTCCCACTCCTCCGCCGCCGCCGCCGTCCAACTCTGTGTACCCCTACTTCAGTCATTTGAATCATTATCTAGCAACAAAGTTTTGGTTGAAAAGTTTTCTAATTAAAATAAAATAAGGCAAAGGTAAATTATTTTGAAAGCTCTTTGTGAGAAGGATCACTCGGATGTCGCTTCCCCCTAACTACTACCATGATATGTGAATTGGAACGATTGCTATGGGCAAGGTAACCGCGAACCGCAGAGGGATGCAAATATGGTCGTAGACCACAATCTCAATTTCTAAACCGAGGTAAACATTATAGTCCGTGTCATTCGACCCTCTTGGTTTAGGCAATCGGTGGTTGACTTACTCCCTCATTCAACTCAAGGGTTGGACGGCTTAATCGCGCTTAACCAATTTACTTAATTCAACATTGAGGTTTTCCCTAAATTAACATAGTTATGTGGCTTAAAAAGCTAAAGGAAAACCAACTTGATTGAGTCTCCCTTAAAAGGGGATTCTCCTCTTTAATATAGGTTAAAGTGGCTAATTAGATTGTTGAGCACCTACACACACAAATCTAAGGATGCTATTTACAATTATGCACAATCTTAGGTTGCTAAGCACAAGCATGCACAAACCTAAGGATGCTAAGCACAAAACATGCACAATCCTTAGGTTGCTAAGCACCAACATGCACAAACCTAAGGATGCTAAGCACAAAACATGCACAACCCTTAGATTGCTAAGCACAAGCATGCACAATCGACATGAATAATACCTCAATCATTGAATTAAACAATACCCAATGATAATCATTCAATTCACATAAAAGAAACTAAATGGTAGCTACTTAGGGTTTCACAACACCCAAGTGAAAAGAAATCTACTCCATGATAGAAATGGGGGGAACACAAGGAGAAGAGGTAGAAACCATCTTGAAGGAGGCTTTCAATCTTCTAGACCCTTGTGCTCAACTTCTCTTGAGGAGAGTCTTCCCAAATCCCACCTTGGAGCAAAACCCTAGCCTCCTCCTTTGGTTCGTCTTTCTCTCTCTAAAAATCTGAAGAAGGCTTTCTCACACAATGGGCTCTCTCCTCTCTCTTCCTTTCAGCTCAGCTTTTAAACAGTGAACGAGCTGAGTTCACGGCCTGAGTTCACGCCTGTGAACTCTGAAACGCGTCCATGAACTTCAGATGGGCGCCGAAACGCACCGCTTTGCTTCCATGGGTTCACGGCCAACAACACTTGTTCACGGTATTAGCGACCGTGAACTCAATTGGCGTTAGTAACTTGCATTTTAGCTCTGGACGCCTCAAATTTCACAGCCAACGACTCTTCTTCACGGTCATACAAGACCGTGAACATCCAAGGAAAACCGTGAACTCGCCGTTTTTCACCTCTTCTCCTGATTTTCGCTCCTTTTCGTCCAACTTTCGACTCCAGGGCTGGTTTCACCTGTTAAATCCTGAAACACTCTAAAACACGAGAAACCTAGCGTCAAACCACCCTTTTAGAAGCGAAATTGCCACAAACGACTAAGGAAAACCGGGACAAAACATGTACAATTAGACCCGAATCACTCCCCCACACATAGACGTTTGCTTGTCCCCAAGCAAACTATTTCTCACAAGGTAATCTTTCAACCTACACAAATACCTTGGGGAAAACTCAAAGGACACAAAGTGGGAATTCTCAATGGCTATTGGCAATCAATACATGGACCGTTGCAAGCAATATCAACATCCACCACAAACGACATTCGAAGCCACCAAAAACGGGCAAACGAAAAGTTCTCACATTGTTCATGGATCAATGCAAGTCTCAACAATACCACTTATCAACCACAACCAACCATGCATGGAATTCAAATCCGAGAAACAAATGGAAAGGCAACAAAGGTCCTCACTGGGGTATGATATGGCATGCAACACAAGAATGAATCACTCACTCTCAAGACCAGTGGGGTCGGGACCTTTTGGAGCAAAAGATGTGCACAATCATAAACACTCGGCCCTATCGTCTCAATACCACGACGGTAACCTCTAAATGCTAGAGTTCACGGGATGGTTGTCACCACTAGCTTGTCCGGAGGTCTTAGACGCGGGTTCAGATGACTTGCAATTGTCTTGGACATGGGGTAAAGGCTTTTTGGGTGGTGGAAATCATGACGTGAGGTTCTACATCTTCAACCTAAAACCGAAGGTTCTATGGTTTCGACCAAAACCCTTCTCCTCAACCAAAGGCCACTAGCATCGGCCAAAAACCTTATCTCTCCCTTCCAAACTATCACCGATTGTGAACTACATCAAAGCACTCTTCCTCGGTCAAATCTTGTTAGCACATTAAGGTTTGGTAGTGAAGGAGTTCTAGAACAATGTGGTGGTTTCAATGGCTTGAGTGCCAAGAAACCACTCCTTGAGCATGTACTTTGGTTTTTCGTGGGACTCTCTACTTTATTTACCCCATTTTATTACCTCTTTTTCGTTTCTCTTTTTTTCTTTTCTTTTCTTTTCTTTTGGGGGGGGGGGATACTAGAGAGTAAAAACACTTGCCACCTATGCGATTAATGACCAATGCTATCTTTTTGAAGAAATCACTCAAACACTACACTTTATTTTTCATTCCTAGCCAGAATCGCACACAAACCTCCTATGTAGAACCTCTATGGAACTCAAAAGAGAGAGGTCCAGGACACAAGGACGACTCATGTTTAGACATGAAGAAAAGATTGGTGGTCGTTCTATTAACACCATTAAGCTCACAAGCAAGAAGCTCCTAACTTAAGAACGACTCTCGAAGTCACAAGGCTCAAAGGGTTTGACTAAGGGATTACACATTTCGGGACAATCAACACTTGGGCGTTGACTAATCCTATGCCTCCATCATACTCACTAGTGACAACTGTGATGTTACTCACCATGGTAAGAGGGATCTAAGCACACAAGAAGAAAACGACCGGCTCAAAGCTCACATGGCTACCTAGTCACCCAACCATCTATTCCAATTCACAAACACGATGCATGACAATTGTAATCAACAAGTAATCGAGTCAAGACATCCATTCATTTATGCACACATGAGAACTAAACTTTTTCCCTATCCTAATGGACCTCTCAGTCATCATCATAGGATATACTCGATCACATGCAACAAATCAAGATCAATGCCAATAAACACGAGAATTTCCCACACACCGACCACTTTGATCATGCAAACATTGCTTGGAGCCCTCAAAATTTTGAAATTTGGGCATGCAAAAGGCTCCAAGCATAAATCACACTCACACAAGCATAATAGTATACTACCCCCCACACTTAAGCTCGACATTGCCCTCAATGGCGTAAGAAAGGGGTAGAATGATGTTACCACTTGGGCTTGGTGAGTGAAAGTTGGAATCGAACCGGGGTAGGATAATTTGAGCTTCAAGGAGAGACAAAAAACACACACACAAATACAATACGACTAGCTCGAGGCGAGGTTATTACAAACACAATACGATAATAGTAGTAGTAGGACAAACTTGCTAACCTCCGTTGGGTTGCCTCCCAAGAAGCGCTTCTTTAACGTCTTAAGCTAAACGGAGACTCCGGGTCACGCATCCTGCAAGAACACCACCTCCTTATGCGGCATTACCTCTCCTCCAAGGTAACGTTTCACGCAGTGTCCATTCACTTTGAAAGTTCCTTCCTCTGGGTGGGAGATCTCAACCACCCCATATGTGAACACTTGCATTACCACATACGGGCCCGACCATTTCGACCTTAGCTTTCTTGGGAATAATTTCATCCGGGAGTTGTACAAGAGAACCTGGTCTCCCGGCTAAAAATCCTTCCCTCCTTTCAGACAAGCATCGTGCAAGCGCTTCGTCCTTTCCTTGTAAATCTTGGTGTTCTCATAGGCTTGGAGACGCCACTCCTCAAGTTCAAGCACCTGCAACTTCCTTTCATTTCCACCACAAACTAGGGTCCATATTCAAAAGTTTTGTGGCCCAGAAAGCCTTATGCTCTAGCTCTACGGGCAAGTGGCACGCTTTGCCAGACACCAAATGGTAAGGCGAGACGCCTATTGGGATTGTGTAAGCCGTGCGGTACGCCCATAGAGCATCATCGAGCTTTGTGGACCAATCCTTGCGGGCTTGATCCACGGTCTTTTTTAGTATCCGTTTCAGCTCCCTATTTGATAGCTCGACTTGTCCACTAGTTTGGGAGTGATAAGCCATGGACACCCGGTGGGTGACACCGTAGCGATCGAGGAGCTTGTCGAATTGATAGGTAAGAAATTATAA